TGTCATCAAACATGGCTATCATGGCTACATAGCTGGGAAATCCCCAAAAATGGCAGTTTGAATGGGACCATCACACTACCCTCTGGTAAACTAACATAGCTATTGAAAATGGCCATTTATAGTGGATTTACCCATTAAACATGGTGATTTTCCATAGTTATGTTAGTTTACCAGAGGGTAAGAGAAACCCATGTATGGCCAAAGATTCAATCAATGGATTGGTTTTGTTGGGAAAATTTACAGGAAACCAGGGTTTTTTACCATTAAAGTCATGGGGTTTTCCGGTTAAAATTTTCCCCTAAACCAATCCATTGATTCAAGTATGAAACTACAACCATGCGGTAAGACATTTACTGGTCATGGTTATACAATGCTCAGGGGGTAAACTAACATAGATGTGGAACACCGGCTTTGTTTCCCTATGACAATGATCTCCAATTGGTGGTTTTTCCACATCTAGGTTAGTTTACCCTAGGGTATATAGTGGATATTAATGGGATGCAATGCATGTCAATGGGATGCAATCAATCCTTCCATGGGATATTTTTTTTGGGACAAGCCATGATGTTTGTTGGTTTAAAGGTTTAAAATCCACATCAACTATGGATATCTACAAAATCCGTCGGCTTGCCCAGTTAGAAGTCAATGTACGTATCTTGGGGTTGCTTCCTGTATACGTCAGTTGAGTACTGGGAATATCCCAATGAATGTCAAACATATTTGATAAATTGATGAACATCTCTAACATCCTCCTTTTTGGTTGGTTGATTATTGTTTCAGGATGGAAATAGGTAAACTTTGGTGAAGGGTAGGGTAACAATGGTTAACAGGTTTTGTTTGCCATAAATGCGGATACATCATATCAAGTTGTTGGTTTCAAGGCATCTAAGATTGGACATGCGAATTGCACACAAACATCATCTGCTAGTATTTGCTAGACGCGGTAGGATATATTTCTTTTTAATCAAATTGCATGTATGGGGGTTTCCATAAATGGGGATACCCCAAAATGGATGATTTATGATGGAAAATCCATCTATAAATAGATGATTTGGGGGGTACCCATTTTAGGAAACCTCCATGTCATAGACTCCATATTGGTTCTTGGTGGAATCTTTGATTCTCTCTTGGATGCACAGACTTTCCCTTGATCTGCATTTTTTTGGGGGAAGACATGGTCAAGCTGGTGCAATCCTCATTGTTGCTCCAACATTTTAAAATCGCTGTTTGATCCCTCAAATTCTGCTACTTCTCCATAGTTAGGTCAATTCCACAAGGTGTGTTCTATGTTGTTGGTTCAAACATCAGTTTGTGATGCACTGTGTTAGTCTCTGGCCCAATCGTTTCGAAAATTCTTTGGAAATGCCAGATTTAATACATCTGATATCGCCTGATTATCATGATTCACTCTTGAAATCATCATTTTACATTCATCAGTGGCCTTTTTTTTTGTGGTTTTTGGAGGCTCAAGACATCCCCCCGCGCCACGCCACGGCTTTCCCATGACGGTGCCGCGCCCGCGGGGCCCGCGGGGCCCGCCGGGCCCGGCGCTGGCGCTGCGGCAGCGGCTGGCGCGGCAGGCGGACGACGCCTTGGCACTGCCGGAGCATCCGCTGCGACGGCTGCTGGAAGCAGCGCCAGGAGTGGATGGGGGTTGATATTGGTTTCAACCATCGATCCAATATGGGATACCCTCTGGTTATGTCAAAATAGCTATTGAAAATGGCCATTCATAGTGGATTTTCCCATGAAAAATGGTGGATCTTTCCATAGCTATGTTAATTTACCAGAGGGTATTTTATCCAGTTTGATATGGGATATTTATGGATATTTGATCTAATTACACCACTATTGTTGATGATTACCTGGTAAATTCACAGTTGGACCCCGAAAATAGTCATTGTTTAGTAACTCATCTTCCAAGCCCGATGACTGCCAGGGACTATGTTAATTTACTGGAGGGTAATATTATTTGATATGGGATAATAGTTTCAACCATAAAAACTAGTGGTATAACGGGATAATGGGATAGAATGAATAGGAATTATTAATGAGTATTAGTAGTATTATTAGGAATATTGGTAGTATTAATGTGGGTAAAACAATGCCATAAACCATCCCCCAGTCATGGGATTTAATGGATATATATTGATATAGGTTACCCGCTGGTAAACTAACAGTTTGCTATGGAAAAACCATGAAACATCAGTTTTTTTTTTGTAAATCAACTATCAATGATATCAATGGCCATTTTCACTAGCTATGTAACAAATGACCAGAGGTTAATATGATTTTGATATGGATATTGATGGGATTTCATTGAGATATACGTATGATAATCAATGGGATGCCCTTTCGGATCCCCGTTGATGCCTGATGCCCACTAGGTCCAACCGGTCCAAAGCCACGGTGTAGGGATTTTTTGGACCAAGGGTGGCCATGATTAACTCGGTGATATGTTTCATGAAGAGCAATGGGGAAATTCACTGGATTGGTTTTGTTGGGAAAATCTTAACCGGAAACCCATGGGTTTTTACCATCAAATTGTTTGGGCTTTCCTGTAAATTTTCCCATAATCCAATTCTATGAGAAATCCACGAAGTATGATAGTTATGATAGTTATGCGCCACTTGATGAAGTGTATGTCACTAGTCTAAGGAACATCATATATATTATAAATGTCACCATTCATTTCATTTGGAGTTGTTTTTCTTTTTTCAGCTGGGAAAATCATCGAACAACACAAAGTGCTGATTTTCCATGAAGCCATGTGACTGATTACCGGGTAAAATGGGTTAGTTAATTTGTAAAATAGTCTTTTAATATCACGAGTTGATGGTCTTTATTGTTAAATGCTGATATCTGGTTGGGAACTTTTTTTTTGCCTTGGCCGTTGGTTGTTGGATGAAACTTCTTTGGACACATTTGACCATGCATATTTCGTGAGAATTTAACTCGATTTCTAATGTGAAGCCAGGGCTTTATGCAATTGGCCTGAGGGGGACCGAGAAAATTTGGGAGTTGAAAACAATCTGGCTGTCTTGGGGCACAATTCTCGATGTTGCTCATCCCCCGGTTGTTGGTTATAATTATATCACCCATTTTTTATGATCATTTCTGGTAAACATCTCCAGTTCTGACCAAAGGTTGGTAGAACGCATGGTTGCAGTTCTGACCAAAGCTTGGTGAAACCAAAGGATGGCAAAACGTAACGTAATTAGCCCCGGGTCCTCTACTTCCATAAAATTCACCAGGGTTGATTAAACATATTCAAACCCTCAATGGTTTTTCTTCAAAGTTCCAATTCTTATACCGAAGCCCCAGATGATTTTATGGTAAACTTCCAAGTTTGGTTGCTGAAATCAATCCAAAAGTCCAGATACTGTATCCAGATCACAGATGTACAGCAGATCTGATTCATAAAATTGAATTAGATAAAATCGTCAAATCCAACACTTGTATTCAAAAATCCATATGGACATGGACTTTCCGCTGTACGAAACTTCCCTTGTTTCGCCGTTTCGGAAACGGCGGAAGTTCTCCAGGAACCCGGGAAGAGGAGAAACAACTTCTGCTGGAGGCGGAGCAACTGCTCCTAGCGAGGCCTAAGGTGGATGTCGTGGCTGACGCTTGGGCGTCGCTGGTGGTCTGATTATGAACCAATGACAATGGGGTAACAAATGGAAAAGAAATGGAGCCGTCCAGGATATATATATTTTTTATTTTGGAAAATCCTACTAAAAGGTGTCGGGCTGGTAGAAAACCGCACTGCGAAATGCATCTTTGATGGTTTGGGTGGGGAAAGGGGTGAGGGGGGGCAACAACGTCCGAACCTGTTGCGTCCATGTCATGCAAAATACATCAAAATACGGGGTTTACAGAAACCATCCCCACGTCCTTCATAGCTTCACTTCCAGGATTCCAAATACAACCGATGGTCCCCAACACAAACGATGGAATGGATGATCAACTGTTGCTTCCTGGATGACGCCGCAATTTTCCAATTTTCTTCTTCGAGCCATGTCATTGCAAATTGACGCATGATTTGTGCCTTCAAAAGTTCGTTTGTTTTGCTCTTCTAAACTCCAACAAAACAAAAACCCTGCAAAACACAGGAGATTTGATCACGCACCAAAAACACTAGCGCGAGCTGCGAGCTTCTACCAGGTACTACAATTGCGCTTTCATCTTGCAACATATATATATAATTACACATATATATATATGTATATATATATATATACATATATATATATATATATGTATATGTGATTCAACGATTTTTAGCCCACAGTGATTACAATTGACAATGGTGTATGAACATTAATTGTGGGGTATGAACAATTGAGAATGGGCCAATGGGCTATGAACTGTACTCTTTTTATGTGACGTAAACCGTGAGGATGAAGTGGATTAATATCATGAAGAATTCACAACGCCATGGTTCACCATCCCCAGCTATCAACTTGCTATCTAGTTAACAAAAGGTATGATCAATCCAATGATCAAATATGATCACATGGTAAAATTATCTCCAGACACCAAGGGGATTATCAACTTAGTTAACATCACCCCCTTTGGATCCATTTGGGGGTGGCTAGTCATGCTAATCTCTTCCCCCAAAAAGCAAACTTCCACCCTTAAACAAGGCCGCCCTGCTGAAGGTATTGGATCGATTCTTGAGGGGGTTTACATGTTTTTACATGATCTCCCCATTTCAGGATGTCTCTAACATTCAAAAAAACATGTTCAACCCCTCTACTGATTGGTGGTTTATGTGGTGACTGGAACCATGGAATTTGATGACTTTCCATTCAGTTGGGAATAAAACATCATCCCAACTGACGAACTCCATCATTTTTCAGAGGGGTAGGTATACCACCAACCAGCTATCGTTTGATGGGTTTTCCGCCTAGGGATTTGTCCAGTCCAAACATCGAGTTGAGGGACCCGACTTGGAAACCGAGGTCCAGTCTCGAGTGCCGGCCCATGAAGAGCCCATGAATCTTCAAGCTCTGCGGAAAGCGGCTGAGGATGGTGATTTGTGGCTGGGCTGGACGAGACCATGGGCCCATTGGGCCCATTGGGCCCATTGGGCCCATTGGGACCATTGGGGTTGTGCCGTCGGTTTCCACGGGCGTCTGAAGATGGAACATGATGCCGGAAGAAAAGCGATAATTTGGAGCTACCTTCTGTTCAGATTTTTTTTCGAGGAAACCAAATGGGCTACAGAAGTCCCTGATTTGTGGCACTGATGCTGAAAGATGAGGATTTAAACTACTGGATTTTGGACGAATTCGTTGAGAAAAATGGGTAGATGAAACATCAAAGCTGGTGGTTGAAACTGCAAGAACAGCGACTTCAAGAAAAAAATGTACCGGAGAAAATCTAAAGCTTAGAGGATCCCAAATTAAATGAACTTGGCATTATTACAAATCATCCCACATTTTACTGAAACCCAAAGACTTGACCTGCCAACATTTGATGATGGGACTGATGAGTTTTCACCTGCACAGGGAAATAAAACACATGGGACTGAGGACATTCACTGCGATTGTCTATCCAGATGACCCAGGATATGTGTGATTCATGATCTGGTTGGTGGTTTGGAACATGAATTTGATGACTTTCCCATATATTGGGAATGTCATCATCCCAACTGACGAACTCATATTTTTCAGAGGGGTAGGTATACCACCAACCAGTGATATTTGGACATGACCAATACAGCTTCGGGTCTTCAAGACGTGGAACCCCCAAAAAAAGCGCACTGGAATTCAAGGATCCGTTTTGATTGGATACCAGGAGCACAACAAATTCTTATAGTTGAACCCCAAATCTTGGTGAAGTGACAGTATTTCCATAATTTTCCGCTGAAACTTCAAGTGCTGGTTGGACGAATTATGTTGCTGTCATTTTCAATGTCAGTCGCTTAACACTTTCATCCTTGTTGATTCTGTCCTTGAACCCTCCACTATTGTTAGCAAATAATGTATTTATGATTATTTATGATTATTTATGTATATTTATGTATATTTATGTCAATTTATGCCGTTTTTTAACCTTCGAAGCTGCAGATTTGTTGCTGCTGAATTCATCAGAAATTCCCCCCAGAATTTTGGTGGTCACTTGATCTTTTCCGTCCCGGAATGATATGTTTATGGTGTGTAACAACTAATCCCAGGCTTGGTTCACGGGGAATTCCCGAGGCAGTCCATGGCGCGGATGGATCTGCGATTGCAGGGGGCTCTGGAAGAGGACGCTGCATGAAACCTCCTGGTTGATTCCCATTTGGTTATGACTAACATAGCCATGGAAAATCCCTCATAAATGGAGGTTTTAATGGGAAAACCATCTATAAATGGGCCATTTTCCATGGCTATGTTAAATAATCAGATGGTAAGTTTGCAAAATGGTGACTTAAGCACGCTGAACCAGGAAAACATGGGGGGTTGGGCAGCAATGGCTAAGTGACTGGGTGCCGGTGAATGGATAGTGAAAAACGGTTTGACGTTTTGAAATCAAAAACGGGACGTAAAAAAAAGCCTGTTGTTCCTCTTGCAGAAGACCAGGATTCCAGCAAAAAGCGGAAGCACCCAAAGCAGGGAATCATAGGATACTTTTTGCCAGCACCAACAAGATATATAGATATTTTCAGCAACAGACAGAGCGACAGTCAAGACTGACAGTCTACAATATAGAGGTTTATTATTAAGAGACACCTAGTATACCCCTGTTTGGGATGATGGAAAACTCTGGTTAGGATGGTTTATTGCATTGGGTCATTGGGTTTACCACATCGAAATTGGATCTTTGCTACTGATCACTGCCTCAGTCCATCGGCAGGGGTGTAATCCCTTGATTTTTGCTGCAAAAACCATCAAAAACCCTATCCCTTCTACTCAGCTTTGCCAGGACGAAGCCTTCCGAAATGTGGGAGGCACTGACTTCCAAAACCCCAAAGCAAAAGCTGCGTTGCGACTCTATCAGGAGCACAGTTTCGTTGCCCTGCCAGGGGAGGATGAGGTTTTCCGGCCCAGTTCAGGGAACTGCTGAACTGATGAGAGGCTTGTACCCCTGAAAAAATCGCCAGAATGTTATAGTGTATGTAAATATATATATATATATATACATATGTATATACATATATACGTATAATATGTATATGCATATATATATAATATAATATATAATATATAATATAATATATAATATATAATATTTAATATATAATATATAATATATAATATAATATATAATATATAATATTTAATATATAATATATAATATATAATATAATATATAATATATAATATAATATATAATATAATATTTAATATATAATATAATATTTAATAACATATATAGTATATAATAAAATATATAATATATAATATATAATATAATATATAATATAATATATAATATATAATATATGATATATAATATAATATATAATATATAATATAATATATAATATATAATACAATATATAATATATAATATATAATATATAATATTTAATATATAATATATAATATAATATAATATACTATAATATAATATAATATAACATAATATAATATATAAATAATATATATAATATGGATATATACAAGACTCTAGATAGATCTATACGTAGACACGAAACATTATAGACAAAATCATACCAGTCTAATAAAAACGGGTAACTCTAGTTCTTCTAAATATAATTTAGGTTAATTCATGACGTAATTCTGATACCCTCTGGTAATTTAACGTAGCTATTGAAAATGACCATAGAAATAGTGGATTTTCGCATTAAAAATGGTGATTTTCAATAGCTATTTTGACATAACCAGAGGGTAATAGTATCCAAATATATCATGTATCAACAGCTTCAAGTCGTGGCCGCCGTGGCCATAGGACTCCGTCACCATGGGCAGAAGAAATGGCAACATCGATCGAGCACCTCGTTTTGGGGGCTTCGGGAATGATGTTTTTGTTGATGGCCATTTTACCATCAAACTTTTTTTTTTAAAGCTGCAAACAGTTTGATCAGTTTGGGGATAACATTGATAAATGATGGTTGATGATGATTTGGGGATCAACAAGGGAGATCTATTGCATGAAAAAAATGGAGATGGAATCTATGATGATTCGCTGATACAAACGGTTGTTCTTGGGGGAATTCAAGTGTCAAATATGCATAACATTTTTTTTTTGCTAACATGGGGATATCATTGATAAACGATGGTTGGTTGGAGGTTGATTAGGTGTTGTAGGGGTTATACCACCTGACCTGGTCTATTGGGGATTGTTCGGGATTATTGTGTGCAAGAACCACCTGGAGGATCACAATCCTGACGATTAATCTATTCGTAGCTGGGAACCCCTGCGAACCAACGGGTACAAAAAGATGGAGGAGGCTTCTGAAGACTGCGAGAATGGATCAAAACCTAAGATTTTCCCATCCGAATTCAATGAACATCCACAAACTAGCTAGTTTGAAGTGCACACCGGGGGACTTACCAGAGTGAAGTCACGCATACCCGTACCTATTAATTACATCTCAACCTTGCTTACACCTCCATTTTGTGTTCGGCAAATCATCTGAAAAATCCTCATTTTGACGGGTGAAATCTCAGCTTCGATTTTGATGGTTGACTTGGACATATTCCAAGTTACATGTTTTAGGCCAAATCCCTTGGTTTTATCGATTCCAAACTTGACTTTAGCTGTTTTTCCCGCCATGTGTGGCAGTTAACTTCGACGTTGTCGGGGTGAAACCATCCTCATCACCAGTGTTCTGAAGCCCCTTTCCATTTCAAAAAATGATATGGTCTTACTGATGCGGTGCGTGCTAAACGTAGGGTTGCTGGATAGGTTGCCGGGGGTTGGGATGATGAACTTGATAGTTAGCCAGTGGATCATTCCCGAAAATTCCCTACGTTTATAGCACAAGTAAGAAAATGATATGGGTGTGTCTGAAAATAGTGTACCCCTAAACCCAATGGTTTTGCTGATCATTATCCCTATTAAATGGCTATAATTGGGAATATACCCTATTTTCAGACAAACCCATATGGTTCTCCTTGGTCAAATCCGCAGCTGGAACCTTTGAACCAGGAATTTCTTTGAACCAGAAATCATCCGAAAAGGACTCGTTAGTGACCCAGGTCATGATCACCCATCGTTGGTGACTAACCAACCATGGAATATCCGTAGATATCATGTAATAGAATGATATACAGCCAGACCTCTTGAACTTGCTATCATTGATTTTCTATCCCATATACATGTTGGTTGTATTTTGCCAGTATCTATACTGGCATTTAGAAAAAGTTGGCTAAAATTTATCATGATCCCAATTTCTAGGGTTGTATCATGTTGTATCTATACTGGCATTTTTCTAGTTGGCTAACATTTATCATGATCCCATTTTTAGTTGTTTATTGCTAAGCTATCATGATCCAACAACCTTTGGGCTTTCTGATCTTGGCCCATCTTGGCTGGTGAAATCTGGCAGGAAGCCTTTCAGGCGGTGATGCACGACGATCCTGAAAGCCTCAGGCAGTTTCAAACATGTCGACCACTTTCCCACCGGGCCAACAACCGTTTTTTTTTTTTAAATGTATTTATATCTCATACACATCTCATACACATACTATAGATGTGTATATATATATAATAATAATATGTACGCATATACGTGTACATATAAATATAAAAATTATGTATATATATATATATACATACAGCATATTGTTACTTATGCACTCACGTTCTATCCCAGTAGATATCCCATGATATTCCCGACTGTTGTTGCTTTGATACCCTTCAAGGTGGGCTGTTTGACATTTTCGCAGGTACGTCTCAATTTTTTGGGTCACTCCCATGTTTTTTTTTTTTTTAATGGTGAATATTCTGTGGTCTGGGGCTTCAATTTTGATCGTTCCCACCATAGTTTCACAGGCAATTGATCAGCCTGGGCTTGGACATTGAAGGCAGCAACCGGGGAAGAAGAGGTGGAATTTTTTAGAGAAAGTGGAGGATGTGAACAGAATTCTCATCCCCAAAATAGATAGATCATCATAGATCATCATACAGGATGATCAGGATGAGCCCCCCCAGTGATGTTAGTTGGTCTATAAACCATGAAATAACCCCCAGGAACTAGTTCGTAATATCTACCATAAACCATAGAAGCCCAAAATATCCCAAAATCATATATCAGCATCTGTCTATAATTTATAACTCCCAGGAACTAGTTCGTAATATCTACCATCAACACCATCGTGGATTTTCGCCACGAAAAAAACATCCGGCAACGCTGAAAACCGGTCCGCGGTCCGCGGTCCTCTTTTGTCGCGGGGGGCATCCGTAAATACCGGGGGATCATCCTGAGAGCCGCTGGTAATGTCAACCCGGGATGGGAATGCTAAACCAATGGTTTATTAATTAGGGGGGGTACTCCTCCAAGAGTCATTTCATCCAATACTTACTGTTTTGATGGTACAAAAAGCAATTCAACAGCCGAACTTCGGGGTTGACATTTTGCTCCAGGGTTGACATCTTTTTATAGCGGATTTCTTTTTCAGGTGAGTGAATGGAATAAGAATTCAGCCAGATAGTAGATGGATTTTAACTTGGCAAAGTTGGATTAGGTGGATTTAGTAAGACTATACAAGACTATACAAGATATATGGATTGGATTTGAGTTTTTTCTGTAGAGTTTCAGGAGTGAATGTAGATTTATAGAATGGCTCAGATTGGTTCAGATTTTTTCAGTGGTTTTCTGGAGCCAAACAGACCCCAGTAACAGCTGGAGACGCGCTTTCTGTCACGTCCTCCATTTGGCAGTTCATGACAATTCTATACAATTCTATCAAAATCAGGAACCTCAGTAATGGCAATGCAATGCATTGTACCCTCTGGTTATTTAACATAGCCATGGAAAATGGTTCATTTATAGATGATTTTCCCAGCTACAAACCTCCATTTATAAGGGATTTCCCATGGCTATGTTAGTCATAACCAGATGGTAATCCTATCACTTGAATTCCATTGATCAATTCTATCGACCTCAGCGGCATGGCAGGGATGGCCGGAAGCTGCTATATCAGCTATAAATCTATGGAATGTTGGATGGTTGATGAGTTTATTCGACATAGTCCAATCTGGACAAACACGGTTTATCGTATGTCTACTAGTCTATCGTATTGCTAGCACCTATTTTCGAATCGTTTTTTCCAATAAATCACAGATATCTCTGCCCAAGAACTAGCAGAACATGATGAATACACACACACACACATTCATATATATATATATAATTATATATAATTACTCCGAGACAAAACAACTTGGAACAGCTGGTGACCTAGCCGATCCACCGAAAGCTGGGTGAACATGTTGGGGCATCTAAGATTAGCACATAGAGTGCCCCCCCAACTTGTGATGGTTTATCAACGTTTATCATCAGTTTCTCTCTTCTGAAATTACCATTTATCAGGGGATTAATTGATTAATTTCCGCATTTTTCAGGCACTAGCATCACTAAAACAGAAATGTTTGTTATCTAACTTAGATATCAATATGATATCAATATCAATATCAATATCAATATCAATATCAATATCAATATCAATATCAATATCAATATCAATCAAGATTCATTATACCTATACACCAAAATTAGCCCTGCCATGTCGATTTCTTTCACTAGCGCGGTGAAAGTTCACCTTTCGCTGCCGTGAGGTACGCGCAACGCTGGAGGACACAGCTTGTTGCAACTGGCGCAAGAGCGTGGCAAAGATCAGTGTGCTCAGGTGTTGCTGCGCGAGGGTGCGAAGGTGTAGCAGTTGGGATATGTTCACATTGTTCACGCCGTGTTTTTCGGTAAGGGAAAGCTGGATATTTGTGGGGATGGAAACTTCAAAATTGTGGGGATATTGTGGAATATTTCATCATTTCAATAGGATTTGACCAACCAAAATGGGGATTTAACTATCAGAAAACATGGATTTAACCAATGAATACTAGACAATGATGTAGATGTGTTTGAACATGGGATTGTTATCCAAGAAATTTTGCAGTACCATATTTTTAGACAAACAATGTTTTTTCAAGTAGCCGTTAACCATGATTTCATCAATATGTTTTTTCTCCATAAGTTGCCTTGAGCTTGAATAGACTTGGACAGACCCTTTGGTCATACCCAACTCCACACCCAAAAATCGAGCCGGCGTGTCTCAACTGCGGGCCAAGTTATCACCAGCATATCATAGACTGGTTGGTGGTTTCAAACATTTTTTTATTTTCCATAATATATGGGATGTCATCTTTCCCATTGACGAACTCCATCATTTTCCAAAATGGTTATTGCACCACCAACCAGTCATCCTCTGGTAAACTAACATAACTATGGAAAATCACCATTTTTCATGGGAAAATCCACGATTTCTATGGCCTTCCCCCAAATTTCCGCCACGTCGGTCCCAACAAGACCCAACAAGTCAACGTTGGAAGATGACCCAGACGACCAAGTATTAAACATTAACATACCCAGGACATCAATGTTTACCCGGCCTGGTTTAATGGTGGTTAATGGTGGTTTAATGGTGTTTGATGGAGATTTACCGTCTGGTAAACGGTTACATATATAACTATGGAAAATCACCACCATGCTATTAATGGGTAAATTAACTATTTCAATGGCCATGTTCAATAGCAAACCGTTAGTTTACCAGAGGGTAAGATAGCGAGTCCAGTTTTCGTCCTATCGCTTGCTTCCATGGATATGTTGAGACACTCCATGCTCCAATCCGTGTCACAGACCTTCGCTGCGACGGCCAAGCCGCCGTCTGCGACGGGCAGTAGAGTCAGCGGTGTTGAAGAGCGCAACACGCCAGAAAAAAGACACATCTGGGAACGGTATGGGAATGGCATGGGAATGGTATGGGAATGGTATGGAATGGCATATCTTCTGATGCTATTCATATGAGGGTTTCCATAAACGGGGGTACCCCTAAATCATCCATTTATAGATGGATTTTCCCTTATAAACCATCCAGCTATTGGGGTAACCCCATTTTAGGAACCCACCATATGATGTTTAACAACGCGGTTTTACTTGGATGATCTGCAGAATCACAACCACCAGCATGGCTCAATCCCAAGGCTTACCTATGGTCAGGTTCAACCTTAGATGTTTAGTATGTGTTTTGAAATTACATGAAATTACCTTACAATTATGTGCCATAAATGATAATGAATGGGACCAAAAACACAAAAACCAGATCGAGCCAGCTAGCAAGGCAAGTTTTCAGATTTGGCTATGTGGTGGAAAGGGAAAGGTTCCCATGTGAAGCCTGTTCCTGGATGCTGGGATTATGATTGATGAGCAACAACATCCACGAATGGATGGGTTGATGCTAGCATATTTTTGGCGGTGCCCCATTTCGCAATACAGGGCATTAAAACCATGAGATATGATGGGTTTTTTAAAATATAGATTAAAACCCATCAACTGGCATTTTTTCCAGTACATCCCCAGAAACAAATCCCAGTATCTCATTGTCTCTCTCCATCTACCTTCTCTCTGGCTTTGTTTTTAGCGCAAAAAAAACAGATAGGTGTGTGTGTGTGTGAAAGTGGGTGTTTGCTTACACCAAAAACAAGGCCGCCGTTGAGGAGTTGAAGAGGGAACATGTTTCATGATTTACTGTGATTCACATTATCCCCATGAACCAACTCTACCAACTCTTTGGTGTTCCCTGTTTTTTTCAGACAAACCCATATGAGTGTTTCCTAGAATAGGGGTACCCCCAATCATCCATTTATAGATGGATTTTCACTAACAACAAACCATCCAGCCTTTTGGGGTATCCCCATTTTAGGAAACCTCCATCTGATGTTTAGTTTACACCGTTTTTACTCATCATTTGCATATATACATACATATATAATAGTTCCAATTTTTTCGGTTCCTGTTGCATGACCATTGAATAAATGGTGATTTTTCATGGGATTAAACCACTATCTGACCAGTAACCATTGACCATTGACCATTGACCATTGACCATAGATGAAATCTATCCGCCAAGACCTCCATGCTGCCGCAGGTCCCAGAACTGGAGGGGGACTACTGCAAGGTCTGCGTCCGATGGTGTCATCCAGCTCAGTATGGGAACGAGAATGAAACAAGGGATGCCAGTAATGAAAAATTAACATGTTTTTACCGCAGATTGAAAAGTACATGTTAAATTTTCATTACTGTTCTAGGTTAGTGATGGATTTTCATTACTGTTCATGGATTAAATTTTCATTTAACATGTTTTTAGGTGGATTTTACTGTTCTATCTTCTTTTTGGGGTGATGGAACATGTAGTTCGATGATTGACCCATCCGAAAGTGATATGTCTCCATAGCAACCTGATTTTTCAATGCGAATCTCCGTTTGACTGTACATATTGGTGAACAAATCCATGGCTTCTCCCAGGAGAGGTTGACGCTGCCGGCATGTTGTTCATGGCAGTGCGACATCCCGAAAAAAAATCGAGGTGTTTTCTCGGGTTTCAACACCCGTTTTTATGGAGTATTTAAGTATTTGAACCAGCAAACCATGGAGCTGATTTTTCCTGGAGGGTAAATGATGAAGATTTATTGAAAATTTCAGAAGTATGCCTAGTTACCTAGTTCTTTTTGAGGTGTTTGATGATTTTTGATTGGCTTTGGCTCAAAATTTCACCGATTGTGGAGATCCAGCTATTGGGGTACTCGAAAAACCCACCCATTTTCGTGTTGGACCTGGACGAGTCCAAAAATCAATGGTGCTCAAAAGTTGCAACGAGAATCCCCAAGGCAGTCAAAATCTATGAAAGGATTACCATAGCCAACATTTTCATCACAACCATAAACATCCCTGTGCTCTTACTGTGGGATCATCAATTTATCTGGAAGCAGTATGCACTGAAGCTGGATCTCTAGGCTTGAAATCCCTTTTTGTTTTTTGATATGATTATCGCAACCAAACTTCCGAAGATAGAACTGATAGAACATGATAGACCAGTACAAGCCCCCTAAAACCGGGGTAATTCCTCGACTTTCCTATCTGGTCAGGATAGGATCCACCCGATTTTCCGACGCTGAGGTGAGATGCTCCTAGTGCTTCTTCCAGGGACCATTGATGAGCAGCCCAGGCAATAGGATCCACCATCATCACCCCTGGATTTGCCATAAATGGATATAAATCCTATAAACCATGAAAATCTGGGAAGTTCATTCTTGCTTGAAAATCCCCATTATTCTGCTGGTAATCAAACCTGGTATATAATGGAGAATATTTCTATGATTGTCCCGTGAAATTCTCCATGTAGTTCGGGACTTCCCAGCCCTGTTTGATGACACCGAGACGGGTATGCTCACATTGGACATAGTCGGTGAGTTCTATCCAATGATATTCCCTCAATATCACTGTTTTCCTGGTCAAACAGCCCATTTTTTCTCCACTTTCCAAAAAAGTGTTAGTAAAGCAATGTCCGAACGGTTCCTAACCCCCACAAAAAAGTCGTTGGTTTATACCATTTATACCCATAACATGGTGAATTTTTGGTTCCGATCTCTATTTGTTCCCCGCCAGGGATGTGGCTCCTCTCATGGAGCTGGCCGCCAAAGCAGATAGCAAGCTGCGCGCCTGCGTGCGCAAAGGCGAGGCGAAACATGGCTACTGGGAAAATCATAAGAAAACCATAGAAAAACCATAGGAAAATGGGAAAATCATAGGAAAGCCATAGGAAAATGGAGGTTTACCCCCTGGTAAATTAACTTGTTGACCCTGAAAATCACCCATTTTTAATGGAAACTAGTCTTCCAACCCCGATGACTGCCAGGGTCTATGTTAATATACCAGGGGGTAATGAATGAGTCATAAAAATTGGTTGGTGGTTTGGAACATGGCTTTTTTCCATTATTTTCCATAATATATGGGTTGTCATCCTTCCCATTGACTTTCATATTTTTCAGAGGGGTTGAAACCACCAACCAGATAAAAACTATGGGAATTGTAGAATGTTTTTTTTCATGAGTTAAATGGTTCATTTCCAGATTCCCAATCAGATTCCCATGGGAATTTTGGGCATGTGAGATTGGTTAATAGGAATTTGATTCAAGATATTCAAGCATCCTGTTTAAGTATGTATTCAAACCATATTATAGAAATAATTTTGCAAATGACCAAGACATTTCTAGAAACTTACATGACTTCTCTTTCATATATATATATATATTATAACAATCTCCATTATTCCTAGAATGTTTTTCTATGTTAGTATATGATACTGTAAATATTTTGCCAAGATATCCTGAGACAACTTGGTGCCTCTAAGCTAAACAGCGAAGGGAAGGAACTCATAGTAGCGTCGATCCATTGGATCAAGTTGGTGATTTTTGTCAATCAAAACAACTGCCCATGTCTCTTGATAGTTCAACCTAAAATACCAATCGTGAATAGTTATATGTATATATATAGTTATATGTATATATAGTTATATATATATAGTTATATATATAGTTATATATATAGTTATATATATAATCATATATGTATATATATATATATGTATCTGTGTATATATTCCTAAGTCCTAAGTCATTTTGCCCTTCATTTTGAAAGGACTAAACTTTCCACATAGTATTTGATGAAGAACCATCGTTATACTGTAGCCCCAGCGGTCTCGGGATTGAGAGAAAATTGCTGGTGCAGTTCTAGCGGGGTAAGTGGCCATATTCTGCCGGAGATGGTCATAATATGATCCCGACTTATCCCGACTTATGCGGGTTACGTTGAAATAACTGATAACTTATAACCATAGTCATACCCATTCAGAAGAGTATCCCATTAACTCAATGGGAATTTTTTAGGATCCTAAAATGGAGGTACTGTACCATTTTTTAGGCCATATTTTCTGGGGATATTCCCTTACATAGGCCTTACATAGGCCTTATATATGGTAGGTACCTCCAATTTAGGTTCCTGAGATGGCCAGTGAACATCCCATCAATGTTCTATACTACCACCATGAGTCTCCAAGGATCTCCAATGGTACAAAGGGCAATACAACTCCATCCCAAACCATCCATGTTGCCATGGTTATACCCCTGACTAACCTCAGCAGCACCCCCAATAGTTATGTTTGTTGGTGCATGAAACCCATTAACTATATGAACTATAGATATATCAATGAACATCAATGAACAACACATCCATAAACCAGTATTAACCCTGGTTATATATAGTTTATGGATGGTTAGTACCTTTATAAACCCGGGTTGTATTTATATTGATAGATTGGTTAAAAATTGGGTGTACCCATAAACCATGAAATTATAGTCCCTGGGCACACCCAATTTTTTCCGATGTCACCCCAGGTTCAGCTTGGCCTTCCTTGGCCCCACGAGCGAAAGAGGTCGGACGCGGGACGGCACGGACGCATCAAAGATGTGGACGTGTTCCATCCAAAACCGGTGGTTTTACAGGGAACAGACAATGTCGTGCCCACTGGCTGCAGAATGCCAGAATTAGCTGCGGAGAAGTTAACGTAAGAAGTCGTGCCTACCCCCTAAACACAAGCGACCTCTGGCGTTTTTGGCGCACTTTTCTTGAGTTTTGTTGCGGTGCCTATGTGTTTGGCTATCAACGCCTACTTAGGGATTTGCATTGTTGTTGTTTGGATCCAGCGGTGCCATTGGGAACTCCTGTCGTGTCGAGCTGGTTGGGTGCTTGCCTTTTCCTTCGCCCATGGGTTTATCTTCCGGCTGGAAAGCTCTGCGGGTGCAGCAGGGATAGGTGCAGCCCATTCTGGGCCGGGAGTGGCTAGGGTCTGGTTCCAACGTCGTTTCATACGTCGTTTGTACGTCGTTTTGACGTCGTTTCTTCTCCTACTACTGCCAGGAACCTGATTGCCTCTGGTGCCTGCCTGCTGTTTGCCTGCTGCTGCCTCCTGCTGCTGTGCTGCTGCCTGGTTGGAATGAAGGATGTACATAGTGAAACATATCGATTCTTCCAAAGATTGGGAGTAGAAATGGGAGTTCTCATTCTAGTCTATAGGTTATATATATATTATATATGGTTATATTCTGTTATATTAACCATGCTAAGAACTGGGGAAAATTTTGGGAGTGATTTCGCATCACGAAATCGTTTTTTCGAGGGGTGAATCACTTCGGTAACGCTAGCAGCCGCTAGCAGAGTGCTAGGAGATTCCCAGATGTTTTGTTTGCCAAGTGGATCATCCGATCACTCCAACAATGGTTCTGTTAAAAACTTTCGGAAATGAACTAAGCCAGAGAGTCTGACAGTCTGACTCCTTGAAAAAGTTTGTAAAACACCTTATTTTGCGCAAGCGATCAATGGGAGATTCATCGACTAATTTTAATGGATTTTATACATGATGACACGGGAAGACCATCAAGATCAGTGGGTTAACGCAGGTGTTTTTCACCCTCGAATTGTTTTTTTTGTGGGTTTATTTCCTACTATGATGAACCACATCTGGTTGGTGGTGTCTGGAACCATGGAATCTTATGACTTTCCATTCAGTTGGGAATACAAAATCATCCCAACTGACTTTCACTCCATCATTTTTCAGATGGGTAGGCGAAAAACCACCAACCAGATATTGCTGTACATGTTTGCTAAGAATTGACCTGACGTTTTGCAGCTCAAAAAATCGACCATCTGAAGGGACAGCATTTCGACCATCCCAAGATGTTCGATGAGGATTTTAGGCTGGTTCAACCAGCTGCCCCCATTAGTCTAGTCTAGTCTATTCATGGCATGTACCCTCTGGTAATTTAACGTAGCTATTGAAAATTGCCATTAATAGTGGATTTTCCCATTAAAAATGGTGATTTTCCATAGTTATGTGAACGTTTACCAGAGGGTATTCATGTTGTTTCGTAATGATATCCCCATGTGAAGTCCCATCACTCGAGGTGCGCGAGTCCGTGACTCTGAGGGTGGCCGGCACCAAGTTGGAAGAGTTGGAGGTTGGGGACAGGGGGGTCGGGCCTGAAGATTGCTAGGTCAGGCGACTTGATGGGTCAATTCGAATGTGGGTAAAACAATGCCATAAATAAACCACCCATTTTCCTGGGAATGGTAAGTTTATACCACCCATATATTTATGGTGATGACTGGGGGACGGTTTCATTCTCTAATCCTTTTAACTCAGAATGCAACTTTGCAAGAATTGATTGATATTGATTGCATGTTTCCTCGTACTCCAGTATTAACTGACTTGGGATATAAGTTGATATAAGTGATCAGCGCGTTGAGTCGTGAGCTGTCCGATCCGAGCTATAATAGGAACATCAAATCATTTTTTTGCAGGCTATCTAAGATTGGCAATGATCAGAAGGATTTTTCAACCAACCTTTTGGGGGACATTCAGCCACCACAGACTGGCATATCATGGGGGATGATTTTTTTGGTCATGGGGGATTCGTTTTTGGGGTTATTTAATATCAATGACTACAAATGGGGGAGATTGAACTGGCAAAACTGTGGGTATTTTCAACAACACCCCAACGAACTAAGTCACGTAGGGATACACTATGATACAATGAAAGTGAGATCACCCCAACGGCAATCAATGAATAGATCTGAATAGATATGAATTAATAGTGTTTGGTGGTTCAAGGACTCATTGAGGACCACTGGTCTTGGCCTTGATGAATCTCCCATTTCGTAACGGACCATTGTCCGAACAGCCATATTTCCAGAGGGTATAGATGGGTAGAGTATATCTATCATTACTTGTGTTAAACCACCATTTATAGTGAATTTTCCCATGAAAAATGGTGGATCTTTCCCATCAGTTACGTTAAATTACCAGATGGTATCCTCTTGTGTTTTCATTAAAAACCTTTTGATTGGCACATTCTCCCTGAACTGATCAACCAGTTGGTGTTTTGATGATCTGGCACACTGGGACAGCTGTTTCTAGCAACTTTTTTCAGCTGGGCGAACATGTCCTGGTGATTCATCCATGGTTTTTCCGTTTCGACACGATCTACACCTGGTGGATTGTGATGGATTTTATATGATTTTATGTCACTTTGCTGGAGGCTTAGGTCATCTTAGGTCGTCATCCTGGTGATTTTCTTAAGGCTATTCGGCTGATCGCCCAGCTACTTGCTAAGTAGAACCACCAAGTAACAACTACTGCCGTTGGGTAATTGCCAGTCCAGTAAAAGATGCTATCCAGGGAAAATGTTTGTTTGATCCCAACATCTGGGTAAACTGATTGGTAAATGGTAAAATTTTCAATAGTTTTCATGGGTCAATTTGACGCAAAATGGGCATCAATCGCATGTTAGCAAACAAATAATTCCTTCCCCCTAACATAAATACCCCCATGAGACAACCAATCTGTATAGGATAGATTAATTTGGAGTAGATTGTTGCGAGCTATTTCGTAGTAGGAGGAACAGCTTTTAAACCTGGTATAGCGACCCCTGAAAAGATAGAAATAGTAAAGTCACAATGACAATAAACTTAAATTTTCTGAAGGTGATTGTTTGTTTCTCGAATGGAACATCTACCATTTCTGTAATCTATTCATATTTATTCTATATAACTATTTTTAACTTTCCAGGGCCATCTTGAGCGAATCCAGGCAATCAAATAGTGTTTTTTTTTTCTATCTTTTCGGGGGGTGCTCTAAACTTTGTTGAAGCATCGATTTTTTGGGTTGTTCACTGTTCACCCCAGACCAAGACGTGCCACACCACGAGCGTCAGGGGATTTGTGCTGCAGATGTGCCGGGACACTCAGCATGCTGAGGATGATGGGGGCGCCCTGGCCTTAAATCTACTTGGGGGTACATCTCTGGCATCGTAAGTTGGGGTATAACTGGGGTAAAGCACAACCACTTCTCACAGTTGCGGTCTAACTATCACAGTTATACTAAGTAAGTTTTACTTGGTAAGTTGCTTCATCAGCCATACAACTGGTCCGTAGTACATTCCACTCATCTAAGTGGAAGATGGTTATTGCCCACTGAGGATTCTTTGGATGCATATTCAAGTTATCCAAGTAAGGATACCCATATATAATGGTACCCAAACAATGGAAGCGGAATAAGCACCTTTCAGAACTGGCTATTTGAATTTCTATGAATTTCTACTAGATTTTCCATCCTATGTGGATCTATGATCCTCATCGGCCATATCAGCTTTTCCAAGCCATCTGGGGCTGCGGATCAGGAATGTATCGCTGGCTTTGAAGCTGCTGGGCGAATATGCCGAGCTGTCATCGCCCCAGAGTTTTGGATCTCGTGGTGGTGTTGTTGGTGTTGCTGCTGTTTTTGTTTTTGCTGTTGCTTTTGCTATCGTTGCTCTTTCTGTTGCTTTCTTTTTTTCTACAGTTTCTCTTCTTTTTGTTATCACCTGTTTTCTGTTGTTCTTTCAGATGTTTTGTAAGATTTGGAAATACACATGTTATTTCCAAAAAAAATACTTTACTTCGAGTGATCCCCACCATGACATATCATGGTGAGGATCACATAGATACCTGGCAGGTGGGGAACAACTCATTTCAACTCATGCGCATCCAGCGTATTCACGTATTGTTGCTGTGCATCCTGCGCTGTGCTGCGACTGCAGAAGCTGCTGCAGAAGCTGCTGCTGCTGGTTGCTGCTGTTGATGGTCTTGGGGCTGCAGAGGGTGCTGTTGTTGTGGTTCTTGTTCTGGTTGTTTCTTTCGTTTTTGATCATGTTTTTTTTTCCGGTTGTTCTTGTTTCTCATTTGTAATGCAAGCCGCGACATGTGCATGGAAAGTACTTGGAGGATCATAGTACAGTAATTGCTTGGTAAATTTGACAACGTCCTTGGGGTTATCCCACTTATCACCGGGGTTCACATGACCTCGCTTACCAGTCGCTTACATTATGGAACCCATGGAACCCATGGAACCCAATGGAACCCTTTGATGATGGGATGATGGCTAACTTTTTTTCCAGCTTTTTTATGTCGAAAAAAACACCCAATGTCGATAGAATTTTTGATGATGTCATACCTCCATTGTATCCCCATTACCCTCTGGTTATTTTCAACATAGCCATGGAAAATGGCCCATTTATAGATGGTTTACCTATTAAAAATAGCGATTTTCCATGGCTATGTTGAATAACCAGAGGGTATATATAAATAAATATATATATATATTAATATCCTCATGTCACATGTCAAAGTCAAGTCCCAAGTCCCATCATCATGTCGCCGGTCCGTAATGTTGGTTCATGTTGCTTATACCATAAGCCCAAGATAAATGAAGGGTTTAATAACAATTAATGGACTGTCAATGGAATATTAATGGAATTCTAATGGAATATGGAATTGTTGGTGAGTATTAACAACATTCGAACTCGAATGAAATTAATACTCACCAACAATTCCATATTCCATTGGAATTCCATTGGAATTCCATTAGCAGTCCATTCAGATTCCATTATAAAAAGTCAATTAATTCAATTTCCATTGAGATCATTAGTCTTTTAATGATCAACTTTCAATCAGACCCAATAAATGGAAATCATCATCCTTCACTCCACTAACAGCTAACATTCCATGAACATTCCATTGACACCAACACATTAAGATTGACACATCAACACTCCATTAACATTCCATTAAAACATCCAGTAAAGTTCCATTAAAAGTCCATGAGTTTTGTTGGTGGTTGTGGATATCTTCTGGTAAACGTTTACATAGCTGTTGAAAATCACCATCCTTAATAGGTAAATCAACGATATATCAACGAACTAAATGGGCCATGTTCAATAGCTGTGTAACAAATTACCAGAGGGTAATCCACATATAAGCCCTATAATCCATTATAATCCCATATATAAGTGGGTATATTCATGGATATTCATGGATATTCCATATATGATCGGGGGTATAACATCCTATAAGCCATTTACCAGGGGGTATCTTCTGATTCTGCCACGTCCTCCTTTGAGGCGCCAATCGGCGGGCGGTCTCGGTGATTCCAAGTCGCCAGAGGCTGAAAAACTCCGAGGCACGCGGTAACCCGGTGGGGAGTGGCTCCTAAGCTGCTAAGAAGTGAGGGATTTCACCATCAGAAAAAGGGACTTTCCATGGGATTTTTCGGCTTTGAATGGGATTTTTACATCTTTGAACCATGAAACATGGGATTGTCATGGGAGTTTAGCCATCACAAACGAGAATTCAGTAGGTTTTTCGAAATCAGAAGGTGATTTCAATTTTTCAGCAATCAAAATAGGGTAATTATGCCGGTACGCCCCAAATCATCCCATATGACATTTTCAATGGTGAAAAATGATGCTGAACCATCAAAACATTCGGATTCCCCTTTTCATACAAGGAAGAAACCACTATGACTATGCAAATTTGAATGGAATTTTGTGATGTTTCGTTTCTGGATTGCAGGACCACCTAATATCTTCTTATATCTTGTTTAGCTTCGCAGTGCGGTGCAAGAATGGTGAGAGCCAACCAGTTTCCAGCGACTCAAACATTCTTGGAGTGGGGATATATATATATAATATAATAATATTATATATATATATATGTATATATTTATCATTAGCCAAGAAAAAACGAAGGGAATACCGGAAGAATTACCTATGAAAGTCAGGGTGTAATCCTCATATTCGGCTGACAGCTTACACATTTGGTCACTGTTTGGTGGTTGTTTGTTCTGGAGATTTCATGAGATTTCGAGGTCAGAAATTTGCAACGATTGGGATCTTTCCTCGCGTTTTTTTTATTTGGGTTCAAGCAGTTTTGTTCTCAAGCAGAGGAAATTGATGGAAATTGCACAGTGGTCGCTGGTGCAACCTTGGAAAAGACGATGTCTCCAGAATTGGAAGACAATTAGATGGCAGGAGCTCTGCCATCTTCGATAGAAAATCATATGAAATCCATTGTTCACTGAAATCTGTTCACAGATTTTGTGGAAAATCCCAATTGGCTGTTTAGTTTGTTAAAAAAAGGGTGGTAGAAATTTCGCAGAGTCGATTCCCCATTTTGGCAGACCCGGACCTGGCCTGGCCTGGCTGATTTGCATATTGGCCTTCATGGTCTTGTTTTGTTCAAAAAGTAGCTGGGCCAGGGAGGTCATGAAATCAAATTTATCAATATGATGTGCTTATGAAATCTATATGATTACAATATTAATTACAATGTTATCTGTTTTGTCCTCATCATTGGGATGCTTGATGATGCACAAAAATGCACCGTGTTAAATATATGTTTGGGATGGTCGAACCATGTGATTGGAGCATCAACTACTATGAATATATTGAAAATCGACGAATCATTCACATCTCGCTATTTCCTCAGCCAACTTGCCAACCAGCGACTCGTTATGTCTAACCATCCAGACATGTCAATTAATTTGGTGGTTTCATTTTTTTTAGTTTTCCATAATATATGGGATAATCCTTCCCAGTGACTTTCATATTTTTCAAGCTGGTTATTGCACCACCAACCAGTCATCCTCTGGTAAACGTTCACATAACTATGGAACATCACCATGCTATTAATGGGAAAATCCACTATAAATGGGCAATTTTCTATGTCGCTTTTTGTATGTAGATCCCAGGCCGGGTATTTTTCTGACTTTGACCCACCCCATAAGTGGGACGGTACCCCATCTGCCATCGACTCCTGGCTTTTGGGCAAAATCCTCCCAGTTTCTATTAGATTTAGCCTCTGGTGATGTCAAAAGTAGCTATTGAAAATGGCAATTTATAGTGGTTTTTCCCATTTAAAATGGTGAAAATGGCCATTGAAATAGTGGTTTTTCCCATCAATAGCATGGTGATTTTCCATAGTTTTTTGTATGTTTACCAGAGGGTAGCCTTTGGTAAACTAACAGTAACTAACATACGTAGCTATAGGAATCGATATTTTTTCCTTTTGGACATACGCAAACAACATGGTGGATAATGTGGGATTCAGCCAGTTTCATAAATCATATTAGTTACATCATCACATTGGCTTTACCACAAGGTCACCATCACCAAGTCAATATATTATCACAATATCACCATATTCTTGTGGGGTGCTATGGTAATACCATCCCCAGTCATGCTAGGTGTAAAAATGGCGCGCTTTCAACCCACATGATTACTGTAATTTAACCGCTATGAATTACATGACCATTGTTATTGTTACTATTACTATTACTATTATAAATTATATTTATATTATATATATATATTTATACACACACTATTATAGTATATATACACACACTATAGTATATATATATACACTATAGTATAGATACTATATATATATACCATTTATATACTATATTATTCCATATCTATGAGCAGTTTACTGGAGGGGCCCCCCCTTCGACCAAAGCCCGCGCGCAGGTTGCATCGCGAAGTTGGGTGAGATCATCCAGAGCGCCTTTGAACAGGTCCAGCGCCTTGGAAGATGATGGTAAAAACCCTGGCAAAACCATGGGAAAAGCATAGGAAAACCATGGGAAAATGGAAAAACCATGGGAAAATCATAGGAAAACCATGGGAAAATGGAAAAACCGTGGTAAAAACATGGAAAAACCGTGGTGGTAAGACCATGGAAAACGATGGAAAAAGAGTTAAACCACCCAAACAGAACAACTGAAGACTTTGGTACAATCTACTCGGATGGCGAATGTGACCTGGGCTGTGATCGCTGCGATGATTTTGGTGATGCCGCGATGCCACCCCAGCCATGACTTTTGTAGCAGTCCCGGTGGGGAGTAAGTCCCAACTGCGAGGCAAAAGCTCCGGTTTTTTTCTTGGAGAAACGCAAGGTTTCTTTTTTGCCATGCATAGTTCTCCCCCTGGTTTCTGGGGTCAATCTCTCACCATTCTGGTTTTTTTCAACTATGATGTACAAAACATGCAACAAAAAACCAGGTGCAGGAAGGGTGACTGTCTGGAATACCATCTGGTAAATTAAGATAACTATGGAAAATCACCATGCTATTAATGGGAAAACTCACTATAAATGACCATTTTCAATAGCTTTTTGTATGTTTACCAGAGGGTAGGTAATGTTTTTTGTTGTGTTTCTAGCAATGCTGCGAATCTTCCAACATCTCCAAAACCAAATTTGGGGTTCCCAGAAGTCGCACCGAAAGCTCACAGATGTTCGCCAGGCTGAAACCTCCAGGCAAAATTTCATCCCATTTACGCTCTGGTAAACTAACATAGCTATTGAAAATTGCCATTTATAATGGATTTTTCCATTAAAAATGGTGATTTTCCATAGTTATGTTAGTTTACCAGAGGGTAGTAGATCCCACCCAAAATCCATCCACATGTTCAGTGAACACAAACAAATTCTTGATCTTTATGGGGACTAGAAATCCCTATCATTGATAGGGATTTTCTATCCCAATTTTGCATCAAATCATCCCACTAGAAATCCCCACTAGAAATCCCTACTATTGGTGAAATCTCATGGAACTCGACCAATTTTCTTGGTGAAATCCCTTGAAATTTGACTACTAATCCACATAAATTGACATCATTTCCAATTTTTGTCCATGGTTTATTCCCATTTGTGTTTGCGAAATCTTCCCTAAAAATTGACTTATAGAAAATGGATATAGAAACATGTTCCATGTATTCCATGTGTTAAATCACCATTCAATCCCATTAACGCTCCATTGAGCCCCAGTATACCTCACCATATCCCACTATATCTCCTGAAGTCCCCTTATTTTTCTGGGTTTTTCACCCATGAGAACCCATAAATCATATATAATTTCCAGAAATCCCCATCAATTCCCCATCAATTCTTCCTTTTTCCCGTGTTTTTCCCCATGTTTTTCCCCATGTCTTTCCGGGTGACGTCCGTCCTCGACCAGTCCATCGAGACGGGCGACACGGGCGGGATGCAGCGCTTGCTGAGCGCCGCCAAGGACTGGGAGGATGATCTGGATGATCAGCCCATGTTTCAGGGTCTATACCAGCCATCAAAATGGTGATTTTGGGGATGGTTTATAAACATGGCAGTGTGTCAAAACCAATAGTACCCCTGTAGTTCACATCAAAATAGCTGGGATTTATGGATGTTCATTCCCCTAAAAATGGTATTAATAGGTATTGATCCATACCCACATAGGTATGCAAAGCATTTTTCATCATTTTTCATGGACCATTTACAACTATGATTGTTACATGCAATGGTGATTGTTGGTATAGCACTATGATTTTGAGGGTCTATACCCCATTGTTTTAACCACATTTTGATACCATAAACTTCATAAACCATCTCCCAGTCATCACCATTTGTATGGGTGCTATGGTTACCATTCCCAGTCATGGCTACTTTACTATTGTATTATAACTCAGGGAATCCTCCAGATGGTGGGAAAATTGTTTTTAGAATGGGAAGATGATGGGAATACTGTGGATGCGAAATCAAAATTCTGCACCAGTTGGCACGCGTGGCTGGTAACTATGAAACACTGTTTTTGAATGGGATTATAAGGGGATAAACCATATACCAACTGGTGCAGGATTTCTTCCATCCACAGGATGATGGGAATATGATGGGAATATCACGGATGTTATTTTTATAGTGGGATGATGTTGTTGTATCCGCCAAACATAGTGGTATAATGGGATATAATGTTTTGTTTTTTTTCATGGAGAAAATGATGATCTACACCCTCTGGTAATTGGTTACATAGGTATGCAAGGCATGGCCATTTAGTTCGATGAATTATGATGAATTAGCTCTTAAAAATAACGATTTCCCATTGTTATGTTAGTTTAATGTTTAATGGAGGGTAGTTGGATGATGTTTTTTTGTCTCTTTTCATAGTTCATTTTTTCCACACATTAATGTCATTGTCTTTTGAACAAAGACGTGAAATGCCATTTGGATGATAGGATTTTGGCATGATTTACATTGCTGTAGACATTGCTGTAGTCATTTTCATAGAATTGGATGATGGGAAAATTTACAGGAAAACCCTATATTTGATGGTAAAAACCATGGTTTCCTGTAGATTTTCCCTTAAACCAATCCAATGACATTTAGAGCCATTTTGACACTGGTTTGTGCTGTAGCGTTCCATTTTTTTGATGGCTTGGGAAGTATGCCATCGGAGATGTGTGGAACCAGGGGGTGAAGGACGCAAAACGCGCTTGGGTGTTCCTCGAATGAGTTAGCTACACAACTCCAGTAGAACACACCATGGTTCATGATATGAACCTTATATATAGATAAATGTCCTGTGTATATATATATATATGTCTGGTTGGTGGTTTGGAACATTTTTTATTTTTCCATATATTGGGAATAATCATCCCAACTGACTGATATTTTTCAGAAGGGGTAGGTATACCACCAACCAGATGTATATATATATCTACACATACACACAGTATGTATGGTATATACATATATCATATATAATGAGGTTTGTAAACCAGTTATTAACCACTCAGTTCGCAGGAATATCTTAGTTCAGTGTACATTGCTCCTAAAATGGACGCTTATTGCAGCCCCCAGTGGTGAAAGTCAGGGAGTCAGTTGGAGCTACGTTTTTTTAGTTTCCCACGTACGGTGGAAGAAATCCGAATCACCAGTCAATAGGTGGCTTATCCCATTATTTATATCAATGGATTGGTTTAAGGGAAAATTTCACCGGAAAACCCCATATTTAATGGGAAAATCTATGGTTTCCGGTTAAGATTTTCCCTTAAACCAATCCATTCATTATAGGGTTTCAACCATCCAAGGTGCAGGATTTCGCTGACCCCGCGACCGGGAGCGTTGGACAGGAATTAGAGGAAGGGCAAAAAAAGTGTCTTCAGGCGATGGACCTTGGGGATGTGGGTCCGCCTGGGGTATCATCCCTGGCGATGGCATGGCAATCTGAAACTGAATGGAGGTTTTCTGAACGCTGGGAAACTCGAATCAAACTGAATGGGGGAGCTGAAAAATTGCCGTGTTTGATGACCGGAGGATGTTTGTTTTTAGGGTTTTCTTCAACAATAGAACATGAAGATTTACACCCGAGGTTTCGGGTTGAACATAGGTGCAGATTTGGTAAGGTTTGTATGAACCATGTACGGGAAAACCATCCAACATATTCTAAAATTTGATGGCCAAAATTGGTTAATCATCCCATAGAACGGCAATTTTTGCGGGATTTCTTTCCATTTCCAGATCGATTTGTAGCCATTGAAATGGTAAATGATGGTAAATGGTTCCGAGATATCCTTCAATTAGTCTGTCTTGAGGGGCGTCCAAAGGTCAAATAATCAAATATCGAGGGGTTTGGAGATTCTGCTTGTACTGTAATCTACTACTCAGTGGTTTCAAACTTCCTCCTGTTCTTTGGAGCGATATTTTACCACCTTTCCAGAATATCTTTAACAGCATTGCCAGGTGTAATCCAGGTACAACGATTTGGCTGGCCGAAGCCAATTTTCGCACGGAGGTGTTACTAATTCGATCATGTCAAAGCCGGATGAAAATCATCCCTTTGTTGTATTAATAGAGAGCCTCCAAAGTAGGGAGAGTTTCTAAATATTTCTAAATGCACTCCCAAAGATTAGCAGACAGGTGCTTTATTCATTAATGTGGCTAGTCAATCAGCTGGATGTCATATCGAGGCAATGGAAGCATCGAACTTTTGCTGGCCAGGCTAAAATTTCAGGGAATCTGCAGAATCCCCCCCGGAACATATGGCCATATTGTGGTACCCTAGTTTCATTTAGTTACCCTAAAAGAACCATTTAGGTATCCCAAATTATCCCAAGCAGAATCAGAATCCAAAACATCGCTCAGGGGGATGGCGGATTGGCTATCGCCAAGAGCCTGGAACAAAGGAAGTGGGGACATCTCAGAGGGTGGCTGTGGTCATGCGATTTAAATGGCACTTCGAATAGGGAGAAAACCATGACGATCAATGGGATTTGGATGATTTTACAGGAAACAAAACCATGGGCACATTTTCATCCTCATGTTTCATGGGAAGATAGCCCTGAAATATGGCAATTCTCAGAGAATTTGAATGGGAACATGATGGAAAGGTCAGACACAACAACATAAATTGAATGAAAACTCTTTGGCAATTTGAATCGTGAAAAGGACAGATATTACCAGCAGGCTTCGGTTTTTTCTCCATGTGCGATGCAACCGGTGGTGATTGAACATCATTCCCTACATCCACCATAGTTTCGTGAACGGGGATGTTGGATATGAAACGGGGAAGGGATAATTTCCCAGCATATCAATGTATCTCATAGTACATCCCCATTGAATCCTATGAATATCCCATGAATCAACAGAATTCATCGTTTTAAAGATCCTCATCTTGGTGCTTTCATGCTATAATTACTGGTCAATCCCTCTCAAGCTAGTGAGAGGTACATAGAGGTACAGGGTTGCCTACCCAATAACCCAGTAATTGGGTATCATATGTATCATGTCCTAATAGATTCCGCTTGTCTTAACTTCTGGGTGGTATGTTATAACTTCTGGTGTAACGTACTGGTTCACCCCTCCTAGAGGTGGTATCAAACATGTTTTTGTAAAAAAAATCAGCTAACATTTGAGAATTTGTTATGGCAGTGGCCTAATGAAATAAACCCAGATGATAAACCACCCCCAATTTCACTAGAAACTGGGGAATGATTCAACCATCTGAAATTGAAGGTTTGCGGCATTTGCCACATTATTAATCGTTAATAAACATCAACCATTTTTATATAATTATCTACCATTATTGACCCATTATTGCTTACCTCAACTTTCAATTGGGAACCATTCTTAATAACTTCACTATTCCCATCAAGTGTTAACCATTACATTACTGCACCATTATGAAAATCACTGGTATTAACATGAATTCACCATTACTAACCAATGATTTCAGCCTACTTCAACATTGGCCACGGCCGGACCTTTGACCTGAAGACCAAGGGCGGGCATCACCTTGAAAAGCATCCTGGGCAATGCCGAACGCCACGTGGGCACTGAATCCAAGGCTGAGTGGGCTCTCCCATTTTTTGGAAGGTTTCCTACCGGGGTACCCCAGTTCTCATCTGGTTGGTGTTTTTTTTTTTAATTTTTCCATAATGTATGGGATAATCCTTCCCATTGACTTTCATATTTTTTTTCAAGATGCTTATTGCACCACCAACCAGTCATCCATTTCTTTAAATGGGGATTTTCCATGAAACCATCCAGCCAGCTTGGGGTAAGCCTGGCCAAAAACCGGGTCCGCTTAGGATGAATCCCAGCTGAGTGGGGAGATTCCAGATGTACGAAGTGGGGAATGTACGAAGTGGGGGAAGCAGCCCGAAGAAAGAATTTTCCAGCATGTTATGTTGGTTTATATGCAGGTGAACTAGAGTCTCTAGAGATGGCGATTGGAACATGAAGTAGACGCTTTTCTTCTCCAACAGGACGAAAAGAAAATCCCATGACTAGAAAGACTAGGGATGACTCGAAGATTGCAATGATTGAGACTCGACTGTATTTTACAATAAATTTTACTCTTTTTTTGGGATTTCATGGGATCAATGGTTTTACGATATTTTACTATTTAGTAAGACTCTGTTGTATTTTACGATAAATTTTACTCTTTTGCTAAGAATGGGATCTAATTATATTGACCAGAAAAGCATTTTTTAAAGATATCGAAGATGGGTAATGAATGATAGATCATGATTTCATATGAATTCGATATATAGCTATTGCCAAAAAAGCGATCTGACTCAGCCAAGAATATGGACTTTGAATATCGTTTTTTGTTGTCTTGGCAATGTGAATTTGTGGTCCCAGGTCGAAAAAAATGGTGTGGTTTTTATGGGTGCAAACCGCAGTGGTTTAATTGGAGTGAACGACACAGTTTTCATCTACGAACGCGTCCGGGATTCCCGCAAAAAAATAGAGAAACGAACCAATATTACCTTCCCATAATAAACTGGTTGGTGGTTTGGAGCATTTTTTATCTTTCTATATATTGGGAATAATAATCCCAACTGACTAATATTTTTCAGAGGGGTAGGTATACCACCAACCAGTAAACACAGCAATTCGAAATCCACCATTTGGTTCGAGTATTTTCCCGTTAAAACCTCCATTATTTATAGAGGATTTTCCAGCACGCCACGTTTGATTTCCAAAGGGTACAAGGGGGGACTCTTGCTGGGTTTAGACCCTATTCCGCAAGAGGGAAAGGCAGCAACCAGCGTCAAATGTGATCAGTTGCGGATCAAAAGGTGGTTAATAATACCCAGGAAAATCATGATCCAAGTGATCTAAGATATCTTCTCTGCCGGACAATGATGCTTGTTGATTGTGTATTGCACATTTGTACAACTATTTGTATGAGGATTCATTGCTGTGCCAACATTCCATGAACTCGGCAGCATTTGATCGCTGGTCAAGTCCGAGTTTTTGTTCAAGACCCAAGAGTTGGTCATGGGCGAGTGTCGACAAACAACAGGATTCCTGGAAGTTCAATGAAGTTCGATCCCTTTTTTTTGTTTCCTCAGGGCTGAGCACATTGGGATGGGTCCACAATTTTTAGCCCCCCAAAAAAACCAGAGATTTTCGTATGTTGAAAATACCTTAACCAATTGATGAAATTGAGGTGTATCCGATTTTGACCGATTTTGACCCGAGCCACATATATGGATGTGGGTCAAAATGGAAGACCTAGGGGACCACAGATATTGCTCTAGTTAAATATTAACCATCCAATTGTTGGGGTACCTAATTTTGACCCATACCCATATAAAATTATAAATGTATCATTTTGGACCGCATATTTTCTTCATCATCTCTGGTTGGTGGATAGCAGGAGCTTCATCGGCTCTTCCTGGAAGCAGAGGCGGGATGCGGCGAAGCGAGAAGCCATGAAGACATGTTTCCCCTGCTGGTGGATGGGAAACATGATACAATATTATATATATAGATATATTATATTATATATAATATATATATATATACATATATATATACATATATATAATATAATATATATATATAATATTATGTATATATGTTGTATTCTTTATGAGAAGGATGTTTAGGATTGAACAGATGGGACTACAGTAATCCCTGAGAAAAAAGGAGCCTCAACCGGCCATGTGAATCTCCCAGATGTTACCCGGCCTGGTAAACATACAAAAAACTATGGAACACATCACCATTTTTCATGGGAAAATCACAATTTTTCATGGGAAAATCTCCATTGTTCATGGGTAAATCACAATTTTTCATGGGAAAATCACCATTTTTCATGGGATACACTATTATATATAGATATAATATAATATAATATTATATGATATAATATTATTATAATATTATATTATATTATATCCAATTATATCCTATCATATATATATATATATATTATATTATATTATATTATGAAATATATACTATAATCTAATATTATATGATATTATATTATATTATATTATATGATATTATATTATATTATATTATATTATATATAATATAGATATAATATAATATAATATTATATGATATGATATTATTATAATATTATATTATATTATATATAATATAGATATAATATAATATAATATTATATGATATAATATTATTATAATATTATATTATATTATATCCAATTATATCCTATCATATATATATATTATATTATATTAAATTAAATTAAATTATATTATATTATATTATATTATATTATGAAATATATACTATAATCTAATATTATTTGATATTATATTATATTATATTATTATATATAATATAGATATAATATAATATAATATTATATGATATAATATTATTTTAATATTATATTATATTATATCCAATTATATCCTATCATATATATATATATTATATTATATTATATTATATTATGAAATATATACTATAATCTAATATTATATGATATTATATAATATAATATTATATTATATGATATAATATTATTATAATATTATATTATATTATATCCAATTATATCCTATCATATATATATATATTATATTATATTATATTATATTATTATATTATGAAATATATACTATAATCTAATATTATATGATATTATATTATTATATTATATGATATTATATTATATTATATGTTATATTATATTATATCATATTATATATAATATAGATATAATAAAATATAATATTATATGATATAATATTATTATAATATTATATTATATTATATCCAATTATATCCTATTATATATTATATTATATTATATTATATTATTTTATGTTATATTATATTATATCAGATTATATTATATATAGAGATACTATAATATAATATTATATGATATTATATTATATTATATCCTATTATATCCTATTATATATAATATAATATAATATAATAGGATATAATAGGATATAATATTATATTATATTATATCCTATTATATCCGAATATATATATATATAATATTATGTATATATGTTGTATTCTTTATGAGAAGGATGTTTAGGATTGAACAGATGGGACTAATCCCCGAGAAAAAAGGAGCCTCAAGCGGCCATGTGAATCTCCCAGATGTTACCCGGCCTGGTAAACATACAAAAAACGATGGAAAACATCACCATTTTTCATGGGAAAATCACCATTTTCAATGGGTAAATCATGGTAAATATCGGTAAATCCACTATTTCGACTGGGCCATGGCTTCCATAGCTTTTTATATTTCCCTCAATGATCTTCCGGTTCCACCAACACCAGGCGGCCTTCAAGAAAATCGACGCGGAACACTTAGACAAACTGGCCACCGGCGCTCGGTGGCGATTTCGCCTCGCCTCAGGCGTCCTTTTTTCGCGGTTGTTTTTGACACAGGGTCAAGTCGTTGAAGACCTGGAGGACTGATTTGAATCCATTTTTGAGTGTTAACCTGTTATATAACTCAGGGAAAAACCATTCAATGATTGGGGTACCAAAAAAATTAACCCATACCCAACTCGCCCAACTGTTGAATTTGGTGATTTTAGCCATGAAGTATAGGAATTTAGGCATGAAACTCGTATGGGCATATGATGGGGAACATTGATATCTATAAAATCAGGTCATTTGTTGCATAGCTATGGTATGGATGGCCCATAGAAATAGATGATTTATCTATTAACATCTATTAACAATGGTGATTTTACATAGCGACGTTAAATACTGACATGGGCAACACAATGCCATAAACAACTTCCATGACCGGGGATGGTTTAATTATACCACCCATCAAGATGGTGATGACTTGAGAATTGTTTATTGTTCGGTTGCCCATACTCATGGTTATCTTGAATAAAGAGAGGGTAAATTTTATTTTAGTGTGGAAATAAGTTTAATTGATATTTATATATGTATATATATATACATATGTATATATGTATAATATAATATTAAATCAGAAGTGACATCCGAAGAGACCGCCTTGCGCACTGCTTGTGTTCTTCATTCGAGCGACTGGGTGAACGCACTGGCAAATCATTGATGTTGTCGATTTCCAGCCGTTGAGGAGTTTTATCATGAACTCACTGCAACGTCTCTAGAAATGATTGCTATATAGTGGGGGTATCTATCAATGACCGAGCTCAAATGAGCTATCATGAGCTATCTGATCTAAAATTCAGGTGATAGGGCTCATGATCCCATTAGATCAGATAGCTCATGATAGCTCAGATTTAGCCCTGAAATTCAGCTGGATGGGCCCTCTTCATCTGGATTTTTAGCGAGTGAATTCTCTTCAGCCAGAGGGCCCATCCAGCTAACTGCAGATCCAACTGTGCTCCATCTCAGAGATCTGGACCATGTGAGATAAAAACGACCGGCACCAGATTTTTGGAGTAGATTCAGGATTCGGTGATTGCTGCAACGGTTGAGTATACCCGGCCTGGTAAACATACAAAAAGCTATGGTATAGATGGCCACTATAAATGGGCCATCTATACCATAGCTATGTAACAAATTACCAGAGGGTATCTCCATCGCCAGATTCAAAGAACCCGTTCTGCCAAGTCCCATTGACATTTTGAGACATTTTAAGCCTTGAGAGGAGGTCGATTTTCACGACACATCTTGCTGCTTCGGAGTCCCATTGATATATGATTTATAATGGATTTATTTATTGGATATATGGTGTATGTCCAACAATATAACAATGTATACTGGTTGATGGGAATACAATGGGATACTAACTAGGTCAATCTTGGTGGGTAGAAACTGATCCTGCTATGTCTTTTTGGGTACGATATGATCTACGTTCACCAGCTGGGAATTTGTCATTTTTTGCAGGGTATCCTGGTTGGTGGTTTTGAACATTTTCTATTTTTCCATATATTGGGAAGAATCATCCCAAGTGACTAATATTTTTCAAGATGGTTAAAACCACCAACCAGTATCTAATGGTTGTCCATGATAAGGTCCCATTTCGTCCACGCGAGTCCGACCAGGGAAGTTCAAGGACTACTCCGAAGAGAAGACCCGAGAGGCGTCCGCAGCATGGGAGGTTTATATCATGGCCATGGCTATTAGTTATAGATAATGGTTATAAATGATTCTAAATGGTTATTTCTATGGGATTATACATTCTATAAATGGGAATATAAGTAAGTACTTCTAACTTGTATTTCGGGCCATAACTGTAGGAACTATGATGGCCATTATGGCTAGAACATTTTCCAGCCACCTGGTTCTTCCGTGTCCTGATTTTTCGTGCCACAGTCAGGTGATGCCTGACTGTTGACCCCAAGGTTTCTAAGATATGGCCGTGAAATACAGTGAATGATCGGAACCATAATTATCAAATGGCTAGGAATTTGCCAAAAAACATGATTACAGAACGATGACTTGTCATGTGGGGCGAGTCGGAACAGCACCATGATAAAGAAATTGCAGCTACAACAAAAAACTTGGAAAATCCCGTTTTTTTCTTCATGAAATTGGATGATGGTACGGTTTTCATCTACCACTGCTTGTACATCTTAGATATGGGTGAGCCGGACGCCTCGGGAAGGTTGAGGAGTTGTACCAAAAGTGGTGCAAGAAGGGAAAGCCCAGTGGCAAGCCGCTTGGCTCAATGGTAGAAAAACTTGAGGCGATCTAGTTAAGCAACTCATGATATTTCATCCCTGATTTATATATTATATAGTTGACAAGTTGACCACTTCATTAGTTAGTCCACTCTTCATCTTGTTCACTCATTCGTTGACTCCATCAAGCTGACGACTCATCCTGACGACTCGCGCTTCGCGATTGGGAAAGATGGGGAAGTCATTTTTGGAGATGGGTAGACGTAACGATACAACTACCAACAATATCCAAATGGGGATAGGAATTCCATCAATGGGGGGATCCACAAGCTCGCTGGTACTGGAAAATCCATCACTGGATGATGACTGGAGGTAGCCCTATGACTCAGGAACCTACCTTTAATAGCAACACTTTTTTTATGCAATAACTATCCTTAAGTGGTTTTATCTGAAGAATGAGGTATCACCAGCCCACAGATGAGGGCCCTGGGGAACATGATGATCAACCAGTGCATCCACTGAGCTAAAACGGTAGGTTCTGTCCCATCCAGCAGGGCATCTTTTGAAAGTTTCCTGTGGCTTAAGGCTTAAGTAGACGTCACTTTGGTGATGTCGAAAGTAGGTACCTCAAGTTGGTAGTTTCAATCATGTTTTATTTTCCAGTCCTTGAATGGAGATGATTCCGGTTGTCGATTTTTCAGGGATGGCTCAATCGCCAAGCAGTGCTAAAACACCTCGGTCAATTTGGTCAATGGTGGATGCTGGTCCTCAGCCGGATGCTCCCATAGGGACTGGCCCCCCAAAAAATGGATGGTAAAACCATGGTTTTACCATGGTTGCAGGATGGATTGCATCTGCAGAAGTTGAGATGTTTGTTGCCTTTTGGCCGAAAGATTGGTCAATTCTAGGTCAGTAAATTCATCTGCTTGTTCCTGGTCAGCTGCCTATGCTGGCAGACGAGTTTGGACATCAAGCCCACACAGCTGTGTGGGCTTGGAGGATGCAGAATATGGAGATGAGCTTTCTTTGTGCCAAGAAAAGGATGTTTTTTTTTCTATCTAACCATTGAGCGCATCTGGGCGAATTTCCTCACAGACGGGGTGCGAGTCTCTGATCGGTGATGCGGCAGGTGAGGGAAGCCCGAAGGGCCCCGGTGAATCTGTGCACCTTTGAGGTTTTTGTCAAATGGGATGAATATGGGATGACTCTGGGTAAATTATAACGACCTCACTGCGACCGAACCCTGGAAATCATGGTTAGGATTCGGGGAATCATCCCCAAGTGGCCGAACTATTCAGGTTAGTGAAATATTATCATTTTCCCAGATGAATGATATACTAACCCCTATGGATGACGTTTAAATCCACAATTTATATCAATTTATGAAGAATCATCCAACGTTGGTGATTGATAACCACCTATGGGACCTATAGTTCTTTTGGAGATATAACCATGAAACATTCACCATTGGCAGTTTATCCTTTTCGATTATAAATCCCACTGCGAATATTTTTGCTCTGGATACTTACCCTCCGGTGATCAAGCATTAGAAATGGAGGTTTATAGCTGGGAACACAGATCTATGAATGGAGGATTTTCCAGCATGCCATGTTTGATCACCAGAGGGTACATCCCCCAAATGTATGATTCATGGGTTAAAACGGTTCAACTGTGTGTGACCAACTCCTGTTCTCTGATGGTCAGATCTACATATCTCGGTTGCTTAGATCCCATAAAATAATCCCCTTCAAAGCCCTTCAAACTTACACCGTTGAAATCCCATGAATTTCCCAGAGAAAGGCATGAACAATTGGTAAAATGGACTGAGAAATCCCAAGAGATTTCATCCAGTTACTGGCCACTGGCCTTACCCATATGCTCCGTGGAAGATTTTTATCAATGTTTACGAAAACCATCAGTCATTTTTGTGGGTACAAAAACCAACACCATGGTTCGCATCTGGGTGAGTTTTTGTCCCACTAGTTGATAATATGTCGATAACCAAAAGAAAACATGTTCTAAGAAATCCCAGAATTTAAATTGGATTCAATCATATTCATCCAACATGGCCTTAGTTTTTCTCCCCACTCAGGGTTCACATCTTTTTGAACAAGGGTTTCCTAGGCTCCATAGATTGATCCGCTGAGCCTAGGCAGGACTGTCGCTTCGAAATTACCATCCAGGTGCTGGGATAATCCACTCTTAGACAGGATTTTTGCCCAGTTCGAGCGATAGCGTTCAGTTGCACGCCTTATTTTGGCTGAACAAACTATGGTTCATGGTAGATATAACGAACTAGTTATACGTATAATAGCGTTTAGAAACCAACATTCACATCACTGCGTGATCTCATCCTGGGCTCCACTCAGAGGTATTTTTGATTCGATAAGGAGAACCTGCGATTTGGGATTGGGATTTCACAGGACTTAGCTGATGAAAACAACCATAGATCTGGGTCAATTTCACGACCGAAGCCTGTTCTCCCTCACGAGAAAATCATAGTTAGGACCTTAGGATTCGGGAAATGATCCCCAAATGGCCGAACTATTCAGGTGAGTGAAATATGGTAAGTTGCCCACCTACTCGGATGATCCAGTAATGATGGAAGATGTTGCTTAGTAAACTGGGATATATTCCACTTGATATGGAAAACCACTTACTCTATAAGTGGGATGATCATTCCAGGTAGGAAAATCGATCGGAATGAGAAGAAACACAATTATCGATCGTATCTGTTTTTTCCCCACCTGCCAGGTGAAGGTTCTCTAGATTTTGACAAAGGTGCTCCTCTTATGTCAGCATATATGCCAGAAAGAATGCCAGTAATTACTGACATGTTCCGCTGAGTATGTCCTAAACCTGATCAAACCAGAGGTCCTAAAGCGCATTTTTTAAACATATCGGTGCTACTTGTACGATGTGCTTTTCTTGTACGCTTAATGATAATCATGAAAAGACTATCATGCGATAGAATCCATGGAACCCCATAGGTACCCTCTGGTTATGATGAACATAGCCATGGTATAGATGGCCCATAGAAATAGATGATTTTCCCAGCTGCAAACCTCCATTTATAAGGGATTTTCCATGGCTATGTGAGTCATAACCAGATGGTAGTGAATTTGTTTGCTTTTGAACTCAATCATCGAGTTTCTGGTTCCGCTCTGTTGACCGTGAGCATCTCCCAGAAGTTTTAACTCGAGGGGATTGGGTTCCAAATTGAATGGGGATGGCCACATTTTATGACATTTTCAGATCATAGAAATGTTGCAACCATTGCCGATTGACACGAGGGAAAGTTGATGCCGGATGCCCTTATATTTCACTGAAAAACCAATGGTTTCCTGTAACATTTCCCTTAGATCAATCCATATCAATCCATTGATGGTCTTAGATCAATCCATACTGTTTGGTGGTTTGGAACATTTTTTATTTTTCCATATAGTTGGGAATTTCATAGTCCCAACTGACGAACTCCATCATTTTTCAGAGGGGTAGGCATACCACCAACCAGTATATTCAATACATATATCATCATATATCTATATATAGATTATATCAACAATATATTAACCATATGTTTGTTGGTTTTTAAATGTTTTTAACCATCCATTGATGGTCTTAGATCCATTGTTCGATCCATCTGAATCTCCCGTCAGGTGAAAAGTGGCCCTCCGACTGTTTGGGCGACACAGCTGACGGAGCAGTTTCCAAAGAGTTTGCCAAGTGGGGGAGTCAACCATAACAAGCCTGGGGTAATCCTTGGTGTACTTTGATGATGTTTGATGATGTTTATGGATACGTTGAAAAATATTTTGCCCCATAGATGGGGAATATATATATATATAATTATATATTGATACACATGACCCACCTAAAGATTATATGCGCTACATCTAACAATTCAAATTCTTGCGTATGAATTTCCATGAATTTCCTGCGATGAGGTTTTTTTTCATTGGAATTCATGGGACAAAAAAACCACCTGAACTCATGCCGCAATGATGAGCATCCCTGAATGGGGAAAAAATCTGTTCTGTTGGGGGAAGTTAGCTCAAGCTTGCAATGGGTGTTCATGATATATATATATATATACACATAATTATCAATCATAACTACATGTATATATAATATGTAGCACATTTATCAAAATGACTCTTGCGAATTTACCTTACAAAGCCCCCTTTATTAAACACTTCGATGTTGGTATCAGCCATCCCAAACCCCCAAAACGTTGGGTCTTTCCGAACTTTTTCACCGCCGCAGCTTTGGCCGAAAGATCCCTCCGCGCCCGTGCGCGGGGAACGGAGAACCGACGATGCGTTCGTTGTGCCGTCACGTGGGCCGCGGGGCGCCAGTGACCCGGCGTTCGTTGTGCGTTTGGTCCAAGGAATTCGAGAAACCATCCCACAGGATCCATGGTGCTGGTATATATGCTAACATAAAGGGGGTATATCAATATATGGTAAATGTTAGCATATATACCATACATGGATCCTATGGGTATGTATATATATCTATATATTTGCATTATATGGTATTTTATTATATGTATAAATATATGATTGTTCTGTTTCTAATATATGTAGACAATTATACCTGCAGGCCGGGGGTGCCGCCCAGAGGTTTATCATGGGACCAGCCCTTGAGGGTTTCTTTGGAGTTTATCAGGGTTTCATTTGTTTTTATTTTTATTTAACCACGGTTTTTATAAGATTTTGCTTTCAAGGTTTTCTTGGGAGTTCATGTCAGATTTAGGTTTTAGTTTTTTTGTTTTTGAAACAAGTCTCGTCAGCCAAGTTGCCATTTCACTGACATACCAACATGAAAAAAACACTGGCCCTGCGCAGTTAAAATCCACTTCGCCGGGCAGCACCCTCCGTCCTGGCCGTAATTATATATACGCTTGGTCATCAGATTCCCTTTTCAGAATAAACTGGTCATCTGTCAAGAGGGTGCAGCAAGTATTCAACAGTTTGCTGTCCCTCCCCACTTGCGGCAAATCCCTTGACTCACTGACAATGCTGTCACATTTTTCAACATTTTTCAGCCATATGCTAGTTGACTTCTTGGTTAGCTTCTTCTACATGGATGTGAATTATGGAAGGCACATGTTGCTCACTTACACTTCCAATGACTTCCATGAGCCATTGGGAATGCTGCTATGGAGACCCGATTGTTCAGTGAGTTCAATCTATTGGAAACTGTAAAACATTTCTCCTCGCTACCGTCCCTGCATCACAAGACCCTTTCCCTGTAATGTGGTATTTGCAAGTTATTCTGCAACCCTGAAACAGCAGTTTCCCCCGATGTTTCCATGGTTTCGCGGCTTCTGATGGCTCCATTTATCCGAATTTATCCCGAGGTGTGGGTGGCCCCAACGAGAAAGCTCCTTCAGCCGCTGCCACTATGGCGCCGAGCATTTTCTGGGCTGACCAGGGCGCAGTCGGTGGAGGGCGAGGAAAACCAAAAGGACTACTACGAAACCTGTCGCTGAAGGGGCGGCCAGTTATGGGGTCCGAAATGGTGGTCATGTCAAGCCAGGATTTTGGGTTCGGATTTCAGAACCCTGTTAAACAGGGGCAACCCGTTGACATTACTGCATAGATCTGCATAGACATAGACTCAAGATCCACAGGATTTACCAAAGCCATATCAAGCCACGGAACTTGGGGGTATATCCCCTGAAATTTCGTCCTTAGACCTTATACATCTTATACGTGGTACCACATACATGGCACTTGTTGGAGAACAGTTTTTCTTCGCACTGGCGAGCCCCATCCGAAAAAAAACGTGGACCGTGGACAGTGATGGAAGTGTGATCCTCCGGGTCTGAAGGATAAGTCGTCACACTACGATGTGATCTTCAAGAGTGACAACATCCGCCTGGGATATTTTCCTCATCTGGCGCCCAACGCCTCTCCAGGACGGCCGGGTTTTGGGGTTTTGAGTTTTGTGCCGTCTGATAGTGATTCACGCATGGAAGAAGCATTACTTGAAATGGGGCTTAAACATGGTTAAACATGCTTAAACACCGAAGCAAGATGAAACACATATTGAACAAGTGATGTTGGTGAAGAAAAGTCAGGGACATGCTTAAACCCTTCAGATCTTTTGCAGCAGCCCAGTGGCATCATTCCAGGATATTCCAGCACCCAGCTGCAGGATCGGTGCCACTTGATATCACCCAGAGTGGCTTTGCTCTTACAGATCACATGCTGAAGTTGATGAAGTGCAACAGTGAATCTCGTGTGTCACTGGGCGTGATGGAGGTCGTGGCAGTTTTTCGGCAGTTTTTCGGCAGTTTCGGTTCCATGTTTAGACTGAAAAAACATGAAACCTTCCGGAACTTCCGGCAGCTGGGAATCAAACATCTGGGCAAATTACAATAATTCACTAACCTGACATAAGGCCATTTTGGGATAATTTCCCTTGTAAACCATGATTCCAGGGTTCGGTCGCAGTGAGGTCGTTATAATTTGCCCAGAAACCGTGGGGTTTGCTGGAAAATCCACCATTTATCTATGATGTTCCCATCAAAACCTCCATTTTTATGAGGGATTTCTAGGGATTTCCCCTAGAGGGTAACCCTCCAATGACTCGGAGTCAAGATATTGGTGGACCCAGATTTGGGCGATCACCTGACCTTACCCCCTTTATTTCACCTTTGGAACCTATAGCCTAAACTTATTAAGTTTAGTAAGTAGCCTATACTTATTACGCTTATTAAGTCTAGTAAGCCAAAAAAGATAGGAAACATCAATGATGCGAGTAGGATTTTACTTCGTTTCTATCTCTTTTGGGGTTGCTATATTTATTCAACATAGGATTCACACTCCAGGAACAAACCTCCGGGGGATTCTAGGCCCGTCACCGAGGTTGGACATGGGTTGCGGCAAAGGCCAAGCCTGTGTAGACGTGGCGCGACAGAGTGGTGCAGCGGTCACAGGGGTGGACCTGTCGACCAGCAACATCCAACGTGCCAAGGAGTTTCTTGCCATGTCAATGTGGGGGTTTCCTAAGTTACGGGGGTACCCCAAATCATCCAAGTCATGGATGACAATTTTTGTAGTGAAATCCATGTTTTGGTGGATCCCCCATTTTTTTAGAAACCACCATGTGGGAAAGCCATGTAAAGTCAAGAATTTGAAACCGCCTTTGGGCTTAGTAGCACCCCATAAATGGAAACATGATTGGTAAACTGGGCATGATCTATTTATTGACTTCAACGCTACATTAGCTGGGTCACTGGTGATGTTGGTAATTTCTGGGTCATCCAAGCTTGCCCATTGTAGATGGGTATGGGTGGTATGGGTCCAGAACCCCCAGAACCGTGGGGCTTTGAACATACAACTGACATATTTTTTGGAATCGTAATAAATCAGCCACCATTGGTCATGTTGTGAAGGGCAAAACTCTCCCCATTGTTGGCCACATGTTGCAGGCAACCTCAGGATCTGATTTCTGTAAGATGCGAGAATCATTCTCCAATTCCCCCATATGGGTATGGATCAATACCTATTAATACCATTTTGAGGGGAATGAACATCCATTTACCAGCTATTTTGATGTTCACCAGGGGTACAAGGTTTTGACACACTGCCACATGGTTAATACATGTTAATACATTACAATCATGATAATTAGGGAAATTATGGGATATAATCCACCACAGCGGTTGTCTATCAGGTCAACAGGGATAAAAAAAGAGACCTTCCTGGCTGTTGACCATCGGGGATATGTTTGAGGGGTCAACACACGAGTTGAACACGTGGTTTCCGGGTTCCCAGGCTGCAGCACGAGCATCAAGATCTGCGGTTGAAGTTTTTGGAAGGCGCCGGGCTCGGTTCCACTGGAGCTGGATTTACCCTGGGGAAAACCTCAGCAAAGGAACCATGGGGAAATGGATATGGGTCAAAACCCTATACCCATGGTGAACACCAAAATAGCTGGCAAATGGATGTTCATCCCTATAAATGGTATCTCTAGGGATTGATCCATAGCCAAATGAAGAAATACACATATGAATATCAAATTATGAACTATTCGGAAAAACATGGATAGAATAGAAGCAGCAAGGAAGATAAGGGAACCGCCTTAAGCCGGCAATACTGGCAACATGTTTGCGCCTGGTCAAAAACACAGTTTCAGGTCCAGTTTGACACATTTCTGCATCTTATGAACCACCTCAAACGTCCTACATCCATGATTCAATATGGGGCTTTCCATAAATAGGGGTACCCCTAAATCATCAATTTTAATAGGGTTTTCCCTTTTTATCGCTTTTTTCTCAAGATTCGTGTACCCCAAAGCATTACTTCGCACAACACGACCAACAGCTTGGATCCTCACTGGTCAGTGAATCATGATTTTTATCATTCTGGATCAATTATTTAGCCAGCTTTATTTAATAGTCATGACAATTGTACAAGGTGGTGGCCCCCAAGTTTTATTGGTTTATAACCCCTACCTAACCACTATTAACTAATATTAACTATAGATATATCTACCAACAACCATCGATTTCACTCGTTTTTTCCACGTTTTTTTTTTGTGTGTTTTGGCCAACTCCCCACCTGCAAAAACCGGCGCGAAGCTCGCAGGTTCCATCACCACGTTGCCGAAAGAGATCAAGGTCACTCCGTTCACACACATCATGTGGCCCGGCGACTGGAGCTGCCATGATGTTTCATGGCAGACCATTCAGAAATGCTACGTGGGCCACGTGGGCTCGTGGGCTTCTTTTTTTGAGGTTTATCCCGTTTATCAGCCGTTTTTTGTGAAAGATCATCAAAAAATGATTGGGCTGCAGTCCATTTCCCGGCAAACCAATCTAGAATATATAATGTATTATTACATTATTCAAGGATACAAATAGAATAATTATAATATATTATAATATAATATATTATATAATGTATTATTATATTATACACTATGTGATGTACAAAAAACCTTCACCAATAAGCCATTGGTTTATCCATTGGTCTGTGAGGAATATGACCATTGAGTTTGGAATTCGAAGGTATCGGACCCATCACATTGATGGCCAAAGTACTTTTAATCAATTTCTATCACTAAATTTCATTAAATGTATAAAATTCATCCACCAGGGCTTCTGGGACGGTATTTTTCTATGTATTTGATGTTTAGGGATATTTAGGGCATAGGATATTGCAAGTTTCATATTTCTTCCATGGTTTCCATGCACCAATTGGAGGCTTTAACAGAGAAAACATGTGGTCCCAGGGTCTTCGTTTTTTCCTGATCCACTCCCATTGGTGGAAGGCCCTTGAAGGCCCTTGGTGGCCAAAAGCTGGATATAATCATCCATAACCATATATAACCATATACAATCATATACAATCATATATATATATATAATGTAGGTTACAGATTAGTACAGATAATGTAGGTTACAGGTTAGGTACCATATATAATGATAATATAAATATATAAATATATAGATAACTCTATAGTTTTAGCTAGTCTGATGGTCAGATTCTAGGAGCCAAAAAAAAGCTGGGAATCCAGGTCAGTTCAAGCCTGGGCATCTTGGACTGCGAAGACCTGACCTGGCGGATTTGGCGGACCTGGATTTCCTAAGTCATTTGGGAATGGCATGGGAATGCTATGGAAATTCGGCATATCTGATGCTATTCATATGTATATTATATTACTATTTTATATATTTTAGCATATGTAATACCCAATGAACTATGGCCTATTCATATATTACCTATTTTATTGGGGATGATAGGCCATAGTTCACAGGATACCTAGTTCTGGGAGGTTTCTTCGACAAGTCATGGGGAAATTTATCAATAGTTATCATCCATTTTAGATTGGGATGTTCCATGATTTACCCTCTGGTAATTTAACATAGCTATTGAAAATGGCCATGTATAGTTGATTTACCCATCAAACATGGTGATCTTCCATAGTTATGTTAGTTTACCAGAGGGTATAACACCATCCAATAGCCTCGCTATTGGGATATCCCCATGGCGATGGATTGATCCCACAAAGCCATCCGAAAGGCTCCTGGTCACCTACTTAGCAGCTTGTGACAAAAGGGGTTTTTGGTTACCCTTAGACTCAACTTAAAAAACAGATCAATCCATTTTTCATGTGGAATTTTGAAGGTTTCGGCCCATTCCCTTAGTGAACTGACGACATCAAAGACTCGGTAGCTCTGGTCATCCGTCCCTCCACTCCCAAAGAAGTGATTTCATCCCCTACATCCACCATGGTTTTTTTGGAATCATGGAGGGTGTTTAAGATTGCGAGATATTAGGGGGAAGGGATTAGTTTCTTACAAACTTTGATATATCCCTTCACTTACAAATCACTAGTTTGCTTATATGGCTTGTTATAGTTTGTACCATGGTTTATAAAGAAACATGTTAATGGTTACCACTAGCAATAAAGGCACATTATATTTCTACAATTTTCTACACATGGCTTGTTAATGGTTTGTTTATATCCAATTTTTAGTCATTTTTTACTTTTGGCGGGGCCGTCGACTCGTCAAAGTTTGGTCCCGGCGAAGCCACCCGATGAAGCAAGCGATGGTCATCCCAAGCATCGGAACTGGTAAAAATAGGTAAAAATGTCAACCGACTGGATGGTTTAGTACATCCTTTGACAATCTTTATATATTTATATGTATCTTAATAATTCTTAATATATTATTTATATATTTTAAACTGGGAGATGTTCATCAAAACCACCTTAACAGATGCTGGACATGAAGATTGAAGAATTAAACCACATTAGCTATTCACCGAAAATCCGTCCCTGCGATCCATCAGTTGAAATTGACTGAGGTCCACGTCCATGCAGCCTTGGACGTGGTGTTGGCAGAGGCCCACAGTGTTCTAGACCCTGGGCTTTTTTTGGGATCGGGTGAAACCCGGTTGAAATGGCTGCAAGATAGCCCTCCTGGTTGATGATGAGTTGGGTTATACTAGCCTTCATATACCCTCTGGTAAACGTTTACATAACTATGGAAGATCACCATTTTTAATGGGTAAATCCACTATTTCTATGGCCATTTTCCATAGCTTTTTGTATGTTTACCAGAGGGTATCGGGGATGATTTTATAATCCAAGAACGGGGAATCCGGGAATCCCTGTTCACCAGTATGCCACGTGGTGGCAACATCCGATTTCACCCATGTTTGAAACTTGACGTCGACCCTTTGAAAGGCTTTCGTTGGGTGGCCACGTGTAGATATATATTATATATAATTATATACTCTGATAATGTAGTGCATTATGTGTATATATCATGAAATTGTGATATGTTATTATATTATGTATTGTATATATATATACACATGTAGATAGATATGGCAACCTACAACAGCCTGAAATGGCCAGCTTGACTGTAGTACCTACGGTATTTCGTTGTCTACCACAGAAAACCAACAGTTCCCAATCTTCATTCCATGATTAAACTAGGGTTGACATTGATTCCTTGAGTTTTTTTGAAGCAATTTGACATTTCTTAATGTCAACCCAAGAGTAACAAGCCCTAGTTGATTTAAAATTGGGGGTAGCCCGACAAACCGTGAGTTCACTTGCTACTAAGATATGGTATCTCCCCGATGGTCAACAGCCAGGAAGGTCTCTTTTTTTATCCCTGTTGACCTGATAGACAACCGCTGTGGTGGATTATATCCCATAATTTCCCTAATTATCATGATTGTAATGTATTAACATGTATTAACCATGTGGCAGTGTGTCAAAACCTTGTACCCCTGGTGAACATCAAAATAGCTGGTAAATGGATGTTCATTCCCCTCAAAATGGTATTAATAGGTATTGATCCATACCCATGTATTAAAAGGAATATTCGGCATTGTAAACCACTAGCAGTATCAACATTTTGGTGATCAAATTTCTTTTGTTTGTCCTGGCCCTTGCCACTTAATCTCCTGCAATTTCCGCAACTCACAGCTGTGCCAATTGATCGATACATGAGAGTGAAACGATGGTCCGAGATCAAGTACTCCAAGACTCCTAGAAATGGTATCTTAGTGGCAGTTTACTAACAAACCCCCCCCTTCATGTTCATGATGTAAATGGTCAACGAATCATGGCTTTCCAGTAGGAAAAACCATGGATTTTCTCCGTTGATCCAAGCTGATCGATCCATTCCATCCCAGGAACCTGGTGGTCTCGTCTGTGTGGAAGACTTCTGTTCCAATGATTCGGGGGTGATCTCGGATCAAGCCCTCAGGCCCGAACGAAGCCTGGCCGAGGTTTTTCTGAAGCAAATCAATAGATGACTAGTACTGTACTTGAGGGGAGATGCTTCAATTTCTTTTTGGGAGGAACTGATGAACCTCGAAATGTGGTGAAGCAATTACAACCATTGGATGAATCACTTGCCCAGATTTCTCCGAAGCTGTCCGCAAGCTTTACTCGCCCCAGGCACTTCTACAAGCGGCTGCACTTTGACCTGGTCATGGGCCCCAGAGCATGGCATGAAAGGGCTGAGGCTGCTGGCTTTCAGGTGGTGCACTGGGAGAATCTACGTGACTTGGCCCGGGCTGGGCGCAAGCGTTGCTGGGAGGATCATCTCATTGAGTAAATGCCTAGCAAGTGGGGAAGCCACAGATAGTGGGAAATGCCCGTTGTACAATGGGAGATCATGATAAAGCGTGGGATTTTCTTAGAGGTTTTCCCCCCAAAGTCAGACAAAAACCTTATGGCTAGAAATGGCTAGAATAGATGTTGATGTTTGAGCCCCAAAAAAGAGAATTTAACATGATCGAACCAACCACACACACACACACCACACACACACACATATATATATGTAGGGGCATGCAACCAATCAACATGGTGATGTTTTATGGGATATATTAATATCCATTATAAGGAAAGATACAACCACATATATATATATATATATCTACATATATTGTTTTACGTGTCTACATCAAGAGAAATGTGTTCTTTATCTTTTAAACTCTTATAAATATAATCATCCTCAGCCGCAGATCAATTATCCTCATTTCGCGTGGCCTGTGTGGCGGATCGTATTTCAAGTCGGAATAATTTACAATTATTTTAAAGCAAACCAGCTGATCCGCGATCCGTCATATGATTCATATGAAACTTGTCAGGAGTTTAAGGGGAGAGGGTTGCAGCGCCTAGAGGAAAAACTTTTGTCCTGTTCTTGTATGTATACATGTATATATATATATATATGCATAAATACATATATACATATATATATATGTATGTACATGTATATGTGTATATATGTGTATCACCATGATCTACCTTGAAGACTCTTCACATCTCTTCACATATCTTTATTTGCCCAAAGAACCTCTTACATCATAACAATACCAATATATTCTTGCTGGTGCAACTTTGTACATGAGAATAAAACAACCTTCACAGAGCAAAGCAACCTCAAAGGCAACCCCGTTGCACTGCAGGATTTCTTTCATGAACAATTAATTTTTCAAACCTCACCACCTTGCCGAAAACAAGACATGCTTGGGCGCACCTTCTGGTTGCCAGCTGCAATCATCTGTTGCTCCAAATTCTTGCTCCAGCAAGGGGTACAGGAGATGGAAATAAATCAAAAAAACATATTCTATCCGACACACATTTCATTGATATTGCTTGCTATTTAGGTTTGCCAGCAATTGCAATCGGCACTTGGGTCAAGCGGCAAGTGGCAAGTGATTCCTTCAATGGAATTTAGCTATCCCAAACGTTCACAAATGTTTCAACAACTTTGTGTTTTTGCGGAAAACATGTGTTGTGTCTGACTTTTTGGGAATGCTAAAAACCCATTGATCTAAAACCCTACTTTTTTAAATATTTTTTAGGGCTGGTCTTCGACCTCTTGAAAAAATCTTCTGACACATCCCCGTCACTTGGACATTTCTGACACATGGTTGTCAGAAAATAAATCTACATGGTTTCCTGGTCGAAGTGGTTCAGTCCCCATCCTCAAAACATAACAGATGGGTCCCATCTCCAAACCTGCAATGATGAATCCCAAATTGATTGATTTTCTTTACCCTCTGGTAAACTAACATAACTATGGAAAATCACCATTTTTAATGGGAAAAACTCACTATAAATGGCCATTTTCAATAGCTATGTTAAATTACCAGAGGGTATGTGTGTTGAACCAACCACTGAACCAACCGGAGTGGGGAAATAAAGTAACCCAAAAATCAGCCAGAATTCAGTATCAAATCCAGCAAAAACAACAAAAAAAACTATCAAGTGTTTTTTCAGCAACCAGTCCTTTCTGTCCGTTTTTGTCCCAGTGAAACTGATCATAAGGAGACCACATGGCCGAGAGCTATCGGCTGATGGCGGCCAGTGCTGCTGAGCATGGCCTCACGAGCGCGGATGGCTGCAGTCCCTGAGCGATCGGGGTCAATGAATTGTTGAAAATATGGATTCATGGAATAGTTATATGGGTATGGATCAATACCTATTAATACCATTTTTAGGGGGATGAACATCCATTTACCAGCTATTTTGATGTCCACCGGGGGTACAAGGTTTTGACACACTGCCATATAACAATAATTAGAAGAATATATATATATATAATCTGGGCAAATCATAACGACCTCACTGCGACCGAACCCTGGAATCATGGTTGATAAGGGGAATCATCCCAGAATGGCATTATCTCAGGTTAGTGAATTATTGTAACTTGCCCGGATATAACAATATAATAATATATATATATATATATACGTATATATATATATGAATATTAAACATTAATTGTGAATATTATTTCCTAATATTAAGTATTAACTGTTAACAAATAGGGATTACCCCCTGGTAATCAATCGTTGCAATGGGGAATTCCGTTTAAATGGAGGTTCAAACGGCAAAATGATAGGGTACTGTAAATGGCTGTAAATGGTGGATTTTCCATTGCCACGTTTGATAAAGCGGGAGGGTTTTTACATCATTGCCATGGTGGTGTTTTATGGCTGTATCATGGACTAAAAAAAGGATATTGATGGCTGTATCCTTCAGCAACCATTGCCAGAGCGGAAATCCCCGAACGGAGGTTCCAATGGGAAAATCATATACCCTCTGGTTATGTCAAAATAGCTATTGAAAATGGCCATTTACAGTGGATTTACCCATTGAAAATGGTGATTTTCCATAGTTTTTTGTATGTTTACCAGAGGGTAAAGTTCAATGGGGGGTTTTTCCAGCAAATCATGCGAAAAATCACTGGAGAGATTTTTGGTTTTGACCTACCTTGTTCTGAACAGGTCCATGGCCACATGCCGAGATAAAATGGATATGAATGAACTATGAATGGTTCTTGAAGGAGTATATAAATCAGCAATAATAGTGGCGAGATTGAGCATTGGGATATCACTGGCAAACATGAAATATTGAAGGAACATGATGAAATCAATTAACATCAAATTTAGGGTAGCATGGATGTCAGACCCACCATGGGATGAATTAATCGGATTTGACATGATCTAACTGATTTAAGCAACATTAACATACTGAGTTCCCAGGTTATATATATACGTGAGATAACCCAGGAATCCGGGACTTCACCCTTCGAATGTTAGTTGAACTAATACTGGGATGATCTTCCCAGTGCCATCGAAGCTCTCTTGCGGATGTGTTTTTTTTCTATATATATATATACCCTCTGGTAAACATACAAAAAGCTATTGAAAATGGCCATAGAAATAGTGGATTTATCCATCAACAATGGTGATTTTCCATAGTTTTTTGTATGTTTACCAGAGGGTATATATATATATATATCACTTAATTCTGCTAAACATATGGCAATTAAATGGCCTGGTTAGTGAGATGTCCCATCTAAACCTCAGCCAGCAACTCCGGCATATCATCAGAAAAACAATCCGAAGGTGATATTCATTATTAATACCTATTGGTTTCTTGGGGATTATGTATATATATATATACACATTATTTTACATTATTTTCATTTATTTTCAACATGAATTCTTAAACGCATTGCGATGAACTTGTGATCCCTGTCGGACTGATGCTGAGGTTTGCAGCTAAACTATTTGAACTCCATGGACATCGTACAGAAAGGCGAAGCCACAATGATCTTGGCGGTTTTAAAGCGCCTTTAGTCAGGACAGCCCCGCAGAAGCCGGGGACAAAATGCGTTCAAGACGTGGGAGGGGCAATTTCGGGCTGGGGTGGAGATAGCTAGACTCAGTTAGACATAGCATGAAAAAGATGATGGTTGTAGCCTGTACCCTGCACCGATTCTGGTAGACTGGTATCTGCCCTGCGAATCTCCCCTCTGATTCAAAGCAAACCTATTCAGAATTGTAACGCTGAGGCCAGTATGTCCAGTCTGCCTGGTGCACGGCCCAAATGCAAGCGCGGCAGCCCAGTTATGGTGTAAACTTGGGAATTAACCAACAGAAATGGATAGAAATGGAGGTACACTGAGAATGATGGGGATATGATAAACAATCTGAGATCCTGGATCGTTAAGTTGGTTCCTTATATATATATACACCAGGATTTGCGTTGGATATATCTGTAGTCAGATGGGACAATGAACCAACTTATACAACTGGAGCCTGTTCCTGGAAGCATTATGGACTCATTGCCAGGGAAAACGGTTCGATCTGTTTCAGTGGGGTTATGGATTACCCTCTGGTAAACATACAAAAAACTATGGAAAATCACCATTTTTAAGTTCGGTAAACCATCTATTTCTATGGGCCAACTATTTCATGGCTATGTTAGTCATAACCAGAGGTAATATGGGTAGCAGTCTCAAAATGGGGTAAATCATGGGTAAATGATGATCTCTCGTGAGCATCAACTTTGGAGATACCCTCTGGTAATTTAACATAGCTATTGAAAATGACCATAGAAATAGTGAGTTTTCCTATTAAAAATGGTGGTTTTCCATGGCTATGTAAACGTTTACCAGGCCGGGTACCCTTCAACTAAATCCAGATTTTCCATGGTTTGAAAGGGGACCTCCTCGACCTTCCCAAGAAGTGCCTGAATCTCTTCCAGGGGGACTTTTTTCCACGAAACCAACTGATAAGCGGCCGGGGGTTAGGGTCAAACTGATTGGACTACAAAGTCACCTTCTGAATTTCTGGTTCTTGCAGACTCTTTGGATATCTTTGGATCAGATTGACCCCTTTTATGGTTGATGATTCTGGGAGAAACCATCCCCAATGGGCTTAATCCCAAATGGTCAATGATTTGGGGATGGTTCATCGTGGTTTTTTCGACGGATCCGGAGCTTGTGGAGTCGGATCCGGCGCACGATGGTCTTCATGGACCTGAGACTTTTTACATTCTGAGAAGTGGAGATCCCCCCGCAAAAAAATCATGCCATTTCAATAGGGAAACTTATGATAAACTGTTGGATGATGTTGGATGTGGCTTTTTTTTCACCTTAAATTTGAGGAGGAGCCCATTTTTGGGTTGGTTTTGACCCCACATACCCCTACCAGCCGGAGATTTTCACCCTTTCCTCGATGCGCGAGGTTTGGGGAGAAGTGCTACAGGAAGAATCCGGACCACAGGTGGGGTGCCAGGAATCCAAGATGATCTTCATGACGGGGACCTGTGGGCTGTTTAGTCTTTTAAAACAGAATAGCCCAATTTCTGAGGCTGTATAACCAGCCATTTTTTTCTGGTAAAATTGGAGTTATGAACGTTTATTATGTTTCAGACTCACGACACCATGGTTTTTTCCGCATCTTTTGTTGTGCCAGGCGTGAGATGAGCCATCCAGGCGACCCTGACTGGGAGGCGGCCAGTGTCCGGGGCCCATGGGCCCGATGATTGACGTATTTTTGGACATCGTTGAAGCATGAAAAATGGGATGGTGATTCATCAAGAGATTTCAGCAAGAATTTTTTTGGATCTCACATTCAGAATGGGAGTTTCACCATGAAACATAGTGGTAATTCATGGGACATCATGGGATTTTGAATGGGGAAATGGTGATCTGGATGCATCTGGTACTCATTTGGGATGATCTAGCTCTTGAACATGCGAGGACTTTGGCAATGGCAATGGCACTATTTAAGAATAATTTTTCCATGAATACCAGTTATCCATGATATCAGTTATCCATTATTTGCAATATTTAATATTCTGCGAAATATTCCCATTGATTACCAGAGAATATGTTTTACCATATTTAACATGATACCTGCAAAATCCCAAGGATTTTCATGAGAACAATTTATGAGAGATCATCGACATGTCAGTGGTTGCCGGCCAGCAATGTTTGATTGGTAAAGATGTTGAAAGATGTTATTACCATTTCACAAACTAACAGGTTGGCCCTCAGATTGCCAATTTTTGCTGGTAATAGTCTTCCAACCCTGCAATTGACGTCTATGTTAGCTTGGGAAATTGGTAGAAGATTGGGAACACAAAAACAAGTGTCGCAGTGAAAATTCACCAAACCCATATAGATTCACGGCGAAAACCCACCTTGGGAAATTGCACAAGGTCATAGCTTCACGGTGAAAAGATAAGGGGACAAACCATGTTGAACATTAGCAAGTTCTTAGTTGCACTGTCAATGGACAGAATAACATTCACTGTGACAACCGCACAAGCCCTTAGGTCCATGCTGAAAAGAAAGGGGAAATTAATGTTGACATGATACTCGTAATATTAAATATAATATGAAGGAACCCAACGGGACCTTTTCCAGCATCAGATCATTGACTTTATCTGCAGCATATCACCCAGTTTATATATGTATATATATATATACTGGCTGGTGGTTTGGAACATTTTAGATTTTCCATAATATATGGTATAATCCTTCCCATTGACTAATATTTTTCAAGATGGATAAAATCACCAGCCAGTATTGATATGTGCATATACAATTATTTAATATAATATACACGGATATGTGTTATAGCCGAGGAGTATATCCTGCAAAGATCAACCTCTCTTTCTCAAGAACTTACAACTTCACAACTGGTTGGGGGGGTTCGAATATCTATCGTTTTTCAACCATACTTGGGATGGTTGGTTGAGATGACTGATATGGGATTGGATTAAAACCACCAACCAGACAGTATTTCTAGAGAAAATCGACCGTAGTTTAGAGTGGATTTTCCCATTAAAACCTTCATTCATAGGTGATATCCCAGGCATTTTTGATTGCCAGAGGCTTTTTGGAGTGTTGAAAGGCTTCCAACTCACTTTCTCTTGCGGGTCAAGTCTGAAAAAAGGACCTCAAGAGGAATCTTGAATCCAGGATTTCAGACTGAGACTGGCACAGTCCTAGAGTTAGGAGACTGGACGGCTGGTCGTGCTAGTTTCCTAGAATCAAGTGCCCCATTTTTGCAGAACAAAACAACTGGGTTTTATTCCATTTTATCCCCGCATTTGAGCCAATGCTGTAGTTGTAAGCTTGTAGTTAGCCAGTTACATTGGGAAATTTGGATGCGGAAAAGGCCCAAACCATGTCCTGCAGGGATTGGGGGAAGCATTGGAAAATTGCACGAACATGTTCAGCTTGGTGAGATATCGAAAAACTTTCCCAGATTGAAATTGAATACTCATTTTATCTCATGAATTTGTGGGGCTCCATCGGGTTACACCTAATGTGTTAAGTCCGACTTTCATTTCATGTGATGTGATTTTCAGTCGTCATATACACATTGTTCGATTCAGAAGTGAAGTGTATGACGACAATGACGACTCAATGGATTGTTTTTTCTTGGGAAAACATGCAGGAACCAGCTATTTTTCTTGGGAAAATCTATTGTTTCCTGTAGTTTTTTTTTTTAAATCTTAAAACGGAATCCAAAGATCTCTTGTGTGTGGAAGGTGGCGCCTCTGTGGCTACGCTACATGGGAGACCTCCCAAAAAACATCCGAGTCACAATGAGGATGACAGTCAGATACCTCTGGCTTGGTCCCAAATCTGGACATGTACTAGTTATCCCAGAATTGGATCCATTAACATCCATTAACTATAGTTAAATAATGTTATTAAGTTATATCTCCCACTTAAATCCAAGGTCACCAAGTGATGTGCGTCAACTTTTTGCGATTTCCCGTAATAGGGGGCCTCACCTTGTGAAGTTCGGTGTCCCTCATCCTGCGGGTGTTGGCCCGTTGAGTCATGGAGCTCAGAGAACGTTTTCGAAGTTGGATGAATATCCAGGGAAAACGATCTTTATGGTTGTTGAGCTAGAAGGACCTCAATACATCTTAATACCCCAACTGTCCACAAAAACATTCAGCTCAAGGTTTGTCTTTGCAATCTCTTGTCCCTATAGGGTTAAATAGCCCCTGACAAATTGAGGTTTATCATCGAAACATATCCAAACCATTTTTTCTTGGGGCAATATTAGGGGTATATATGGGCAAGTCAAAATTTATGTATAATTTCAAGGGAATGGATTCTCATGAATTGTCAAGTTCAGAGGCGCCCAGGTTTCACCCTGGCACATCTGGTCAAGGGAAAATCCTCCAACTGTTTGCCAGGTAAATCACAAAGGCAGGTCATTTTCCACTGCCAAATTTGGCAACGAGTCTTCGGGAGGATGTCGAGAAATGACATGGTTTTAGCTGGTCTTTGAGTTTAAAGACCTCAGCATTGATTGGATGCACGGTACAAAGATGTACAAAATATCCTTGAACCTTTGTGCATGGTGGGGACAAGGCGTATACAGCGTGCTTTCCAACAAGCAACCCACGCAGCATTTGAAAGCATGTTTCTGCCGCACTCACAAGCTTTGAGTCGGAAAATGGAAAGATGAATGGCCTGCTGTTGTACATGTTTGAAGATTGCAGCGTGACTTGCCCTGATCCGACCACTGGCTGCGTTGACGCTTGCAGTTTTGTTGGCGGCCGTGTGGGCACAAACCGTTGCATAAGGAGAATCCGCCTGAAACTGGCGAGGGCGAGGCAGGCTGTGGATCTGGTTTTTGGAGGGGAAGGGGCCATGGGGCACGGCAAAAGCTTAGGTCGGCAACAGCAAGGAGCAAGGTCGCGTTTTCTTACATGAAACCACCTTTTGATTGGGCACTCATTCTTTCCCCCCAAGACACAGTGTGTTGCTGAAGCATGCTTCGTAGTTGTACAGTCGGAAAACGTTTCAGCAGCCAACAGTAGCAATGCAACCCAACTTGGTTAACCCACCTGTTGACCAAGCTTCTAGTAGCAACTCCATGGGCCAATGCACTGTTCGCAAGACAACGTGTTTTCTTTTTTCTCGAAGGGTGGCACTTGCAAGCTCCTTCGCAGGTGGCGCGCTTGTTGGTTTCATTCATGGATGAACAGGTGATTTTTGCCTGCCTCAAAAATTTCCTTTTCTCGAATAAGGAAACTTCTTGGACAAACAACTGAAATCACATCGTTGTCTGCGAATGTTTTGGTTTGAAGAACAACACCCATCCAAATTAAATCTAAGGTTGTGGACCATGTCCGGGACAGGTTCCTGAAAAGTGGTTTGTTTCTGCAGATGGCACAAAGGATTCATGCCGTTCACTTTTCCGTTGTTTTTCCGTTCAACCTATCAACATGTGTCCAATCTGTTAGGTGCTGGCATTAGTTGGTTTATATTGGTGTCCGCACCAGCCTAGCACCATGAATATGGACGGGTTTGGTAAAGATGGTGGCGGGCTAAATCCAATTCGTCATTCGCCGCCCGGCATTTCAGGAAACCTACTCGCTGGACTTTCATTTGATGACGCAGGTAGGGTCGCAGGGAAACAAGAAATTGTGCGAGGTTTGCTGGGCAACATGGGGGCTGGCCTCATCCCATGATCATTGGCTGGTAATTTTTGAGACCCAACTCACGTCCATATTTCCAGCACGGTGAAGCACCAATGAGATCCTTTCATGGTTCTGTCATGGTTGCATAGTTGTATTTAGAATAAATTACGTTTGGGTTGGGTGGAAAAGTCGGATTGCTCACAGTTTTATGACCATCAGTTTGCCAGGACTCCCAAAGAAAAACATGAGCACCCAAATTTACCAAATTAGTGGACGCCAAAAATTGTAGACGACATTGAACATCCTCTCTTCATTTGTAAGAGCCCCCAATGCTTTGAACACAAAAATTCGATGGTACACGCCAATTTTGTGACTTCGGCCCCAGTCTCCGAATGGTCATACATTTCACGAAAATTGGTCCACATGTGTTTTTATCTCACCTTTGTAAGTTGCTGACAGCGATTGAACAAATTTCGTACCCATGGCAAATGAACGAACTTCGATTTGCACCACCAATTTAAAGACATCAGTGCGTGTATGTGTGTGTGTGGTAGTGTACGCCATTTCTGTTCCAACCAACCATGGGCCCACAAATTTGACTGATTGTCTGGGTATTTTGACATTGAAAGCACCCCGCTCCATTTCCAACAAGGAATCTTGAACGTAAAAACAAAATTATGTTCCCATATCGGAGAGTCTTAAATTCAATAACATTTTTTTTAAACAACATTTTAGCATTTCTTCCCTGTTTTGATCAATTTTAGTTACTAGTTGCCGTGGTAAGCTTACATGTTCAGGAATTTGGGAACCGGTGCGAATACATGTCAGATATTCCGTTCCAACCGCAGGTTTACAGAATTCAAAAAATAAGGACCCCCACCTCTTGTTCCCAGGTTTTTGGACATACCCTATCACCGCACGATACTATGATAGAGGGGCATTTTGTTCTTCATAGTCCATTCCCATGTTGGCTGGCGCGCGAGCCTGTGTTTGTTGATTATTGACTATGTACTACTATGTACTGTAGTTATTTGCAAACATACCCTCTGGTAATTTAACGTAGCTATTGAAAATGACCATTAATAGTGGATTTTCCCATTAAAACTGGTGATTTTCCATAGTTACGTTAGTTTACCAGAGGGTAAGCTGTTCAACCCAAGTTTTCTTTGTTGCTGTGCCAATTTTCCTGGCAGCTCGCCGTATGATTTTGTTCACTGGCAAAATGGTGGCCGATTCACTCCGACTGTGTAGAACATCCACGATTCAGCCTATGAATTCTAAAGGAACCCCCAAAAAACTAGAAAAGAAATTTAGCACCCACCAAATTAACGTAGACCCTGCCAAATTTAGTGTAGGAAGACAACGCACCATAGTAATAGTACTGATTCCCACGGTCATTGTTGGGGGGACGGTACCCCTTTTTTGGTGAATCTCGAAGGATTTCACTTTTCTCTGCTTTTCCAAGGTTTTTTGTTTGTTTGGTGGCAAACGGTCTCTTGACCCTGTCTAGGGGTCTTGACTGCTAACATTCTTTGAATTTTAGGAACGGTGAGAGACCCCAAAACAACCGTGGTTTAAACGCTGTCTTGGGGGGTTGCTGAAATCATAGGCAACCCTGAAACGGGGGGTACAATATGTCACATGTTGGTTTATAACCCTATCCAACTATGATATCTACGATAAACCATAGTTAAGTTATGTTAAGCTAGCTAGTTACGTTCACCAACTTAGCGATTCCGAGCTGGGGCCCAACCTTGTACCCCCCAAAAAACAACTGACCGAAGGTGAACCTGAGTCGTGGCCGTGCCATGCGAGTCATCAAGCGGGACGAGGTGCAATTACACGTGCAGATCAATGTGGCAGAGGGAACGCCAATAAATAGGGATTAGATTAAATAGAGAGGTTTTAATGGGAATACCGTAGGGATTTAATGGGATGTTATGGGAATATAGGATTGATGAGATTTAACAGGGATTTAATGGGAATATGATTGGGTTTTGATAGGGATTTCATGTTCGGGAAATGGAACTTTAACCACCCGATCCATGGATCTAGGAAAATCTTGGAAATCATGAGGCTATTTTTGGAGCTGAACATGGGTCCAGATCGGTGATGCACACTTTATCATGAGGATATATGAGGATTTTTTGGGTTTGTTTGCCCCATGAAATGCCAGAAAAGAAATATGAATCTAGATATGAACGGGACAGTTCTCGGTAATGACATTTTTGGGTTGTCCGGGTTGCCCTGGCTTCAGACAAACACACTTCCACTTCAGGACTTTTGATTTGCCCAGAACAAGAAATCTGTTCCCAGTATATGATCCCAAACAGAGAGGCACCCGGTGATAGCAGGGCATATTTTTGGTGACTTCGCGCCAACATTATCGAACGCTTCAGTACGTGCCTCTCTGATTGTTTGAAATTTGTTGGAGACCACCAATGATTGCTAGTCATATAGTCATTGATAGTCATATAGCCATTGATAGTCATATAGCCACTATATGCTAGGTCAGTGGCTATGTATTTTTTCTTTTATATGACCTAGCAACAATTGGGTAAATGGAATCATCCCGATGGCCATTTGTCCCCAAATTTTTCATTCATAGAATCGCAATCTGGTCATCTTCCAATCATGAAGGCCATGCAAACGTTAATGGTGATTACTGGTGATTAATGGTGATTGATGGTGATTAATGGTGTGTCTTTCAGTTTTTCTGATGGTCGAGAATTGTTGGGTAAAGCTTGGCGAGTACAGGTTTTCAGTTTTTGATTGTCATCCTGCTATCGTTGAGAATTAGAATCGAAAAATATCTGACATCCAGCTAAATTGGCAGCGGTGCTTACATACATGGTTCAGATTTCACCTAAAATGGCATCTGCGGATTGCGGTTCATTCCCCTCAAAAGGCCGATATATGTTTGATTCGTTGTGTTGTTGCTGGAACCACATATATCTGTATATATATATATGTCATATATAACATATATATATATATATACACATGCATACATACATCATATATAACACATATATATATACATATACATATATCTATATATACATACATACATTCCCCAGGGAAGAAAATGACTAACTTTTTCTAGGGTCAAGCCACTCTTGGAAGCCCTGGGAGTTGCAATTTTTTCAGGGCATGACTTGGGCACAGAAGATCACCCATGTCTACAACGAGAAGGCGGAGCTGCCACCGGCAACGCCGGTGCACGAGTTGGGTGTTCGGATTGACTAAAAATCCAAAAGCACTTAGTCACTACTCTATTTTTGTGCCTGGAGCCCAAAAATTAAAGATATACTGTAAAGTTACAGAATTTCATTTTACAGATGTTTGATCAATATTCATGGCCCAGGGGAATCATTGATTCTTTTCATTTTGATATTTATTATTATACACAGTAACCATTCACTGTTACGGGTATCTCACGTTTACCCATAATCAGTTGGCTGTGGAAAATGGATGAGCATGATGAGCATGGTCCATTTGTAGATGATTTAGCTGTCAAAATACTGATCCATAGAATGATACAAGTAGCTATGTTAGTCACCAGAGGGTAGATGTTCAGTTTCAGTGGGTAGGAAAAATTTCCCCGACTTGGATGTGTCTGGTCATTTTTCAGGAACAATGAGGTTCTCAGCCATCAATTCTTGGTTGAACAATGGTTGACCGCGAGGATTCGGTTGAGGTTTCAAGCGCACCGGTGATCCAAGTGCTAAGCATTTGTGGATGGAACGAATCTGAATTATCCATAAATGTGTGACCTTGGGGGGTTGACTCCCAGGATAACTGAGATTCCATTACTGATATTACTGGGTCATAGTATGCTTATTATCCAGTAGCTAAGTGGGATGCATGTCCACGTAATGAACATCCTATGAGAGCCCAAAGTCAGAGATTGTGAAGTTTGGTTTTGCCTAAAAAGGCCCCACTGACCGGTTTCAAGCTACTCTTCTCAAGCTTGTTCACTTGATTGTTTGGAGTCTTGGCAATTGTTATATTCTTTTTGAAGTCTCTCATACTTCTTACTGGTTTTATTCCCTATAGCCTATCTGGTTGGTGGTTTGGAACATGGCTTTTATGACTTTCCATATATTGGGAATAGTAACCCCAACTGGTCCGAACTCCATCATTTTTCAGAGGGGTAGGCGAAAAACCACCAACCAGTATATTCAGTATATATATATAGATTATATTAACCATATATTAAGCCTATATTAAGCCTATAGTTGTTGCTTTTTAACCATCCATTGATGGTCAACCACCAACCAGCGGTATCTCCTATGGATCATTCAGCTACAAAGCTCTGAACTGAGCACGGAACGAGGTCACGGAGTTTGTGAAAGACGCGGAAGATACCTTCAGCCAGGCGAGGTGTCCATGTGTCGTCGTCGGGTCAACTGGGAGGATCAGCCGATGGAAGTGGGTAATAACTGGAGAATTGTTTTTTTATTCACCGACTGATGGAATAAGCCACTTAGAAACATGTCCTAACTACTCGTTTGCCATTTTTTTGATGGGAACATATTAGCTAAAACATGCCAAACATATCGATCGCATTTGGATGCGTTTGGCAGGGTATCTACAATAGGCATCGATTGGCAACGTTTGGCTGCACTTGGGTGATCTTGGGATAAATGGGATAAATGCGGACAAGTCACACCAGCACAACCGAACATGGAAGCGAACCAATGCCCATGTTTCACAATGTTAGATGTTTGCTGGGAAAACCATTCTGGCCGTTTTTTTTTTTGTGTGTTGGTAAGGTCAGCTCGTTTGATAGCTTCATCACAATCATCAATTTTGTTGGTTGAATCACGTGTTGTGTGTCAAATTCCAATTTTGGTTGCTTGGATCCATGATTTTTCCGGCCTTCAATCCCACATTTCTAGTGAGTTTTTGATTCATCTTGAACCTCATTTTGTTTTGCTGCTTGAACTCCACCCCTTTTTGGAGCATTTTTTCCCCCCAAGGCAGAAGCAGAGTTGCATCTGCTAGGTGCGAAGCGGGGGGTATGAGAGGCCAATACTTTTGTTTTCCGGGCAATGGCCAGAAACATGTCATGATGATAGGACATTGGATTTTGGGATTTTACCAACATCAACAAGTGGAAGAGTCCTTCATAAATAGGTCCTGAGAGTAGTCAACCATTTATCCAAATAGATGTCGGATGAAGCTGGAGAATTGTTGAACCAAAGCACTTGAATTATCCAAATGGAGTAGATGTAGCTGCCCCAACTTGTGGCTGCAGAGCTCCCTCTGATGTTGGCCAATCGCCTGGATTGAGTTGGCAAATACTGAGCAAACATTGGATAACATTGGTACTGTAGATTAATGGCTCAATTTGCTGCTATTTTGAAGAATCGGATATGTTAGACCCAAGCTAATAGATTCTTATTTCATAACCATATTCTTTTGTAATTGCACTCCACCACAAACCCTATGTAAACTAGCACATGTACGACAGCTGTTGCGGCTCAGTAAAAAGGAGTGAGTCGCAGGTGCTTAACGGTTTAGCCCATTGTTATTTAGGTTTATCAGTCTACTTGGGTATAACATTGTTTACCCCGCTGAAACCTGAAAATACAGGTTATCAGCCGTAGTCTCTAAAGCCATGGACAAGTCACACGATGCTACAGGTGGTGGCGCTCTCGTACCCGCTTCAGGAACAATGGCGACTGCAGCAACTGGATCTCAGCCTGCGACGGCTGGGGCAACTCCCACGCCCATGTCGGTAGATGAAGGATTCTTCACACAGCCCGTCCGGGCATATTTCCAGTTCGTGCAGAACAATCTTACCTACATCAATGAAGGTAACATTGACGCTTTCAGGCAAGAGGCAGAAGAGAGACACACACATCTCATGGAACAAAAGGTCCAGCAACTGTACCAAGAGTTTGAGGGAATTTGCCTTAGTGAAATTGCCCATCAACGTGCAGAAGCTGATCGCAGACATGAACACCTAGTGTCAGAGTATTCAATGTCCCAAACGGCAACTGAGCATGAGGTCGCAAAACTGAGACAGGAACTTAGCGATGCAAACGCAAAGCTGAAGAACGCTGCAAATGCAGTTGCACTGGAAGCTGAGCAAAGAGCAAACCAAAAGGTAGCCCATGTTACAGCCCAGTACGAACAAAGGTTTTCTGAACTCAGAGGTAGCCTCGAGGCAGACTGTAAACGAATCGTGGACGAAACAGTTGAGTATGCAAAAAATGGCATGGAAGGTTTCAAGAAGGAGGAACAAGCTGTAATCCAGGAGATTAGAGAGGAATGCAGTAGGCAGGAAAACCAAGCTGCTGAACTCAACTATCAACTGCAGGGACAAGTGGAGGATTTGATGGAGAAGCTCAACAAGTACAGCGCCCCTGAAATCAAGGTCGACAGAGCCGTCGAAGTTGACGATGGACAAGGCGGGAACAATGTTGATCTGTACATGACCCCAAAATCAGCGGTCGGTACCAAGGCTGGAGCAGAACCCATGCCAAACACTGGTATGAGCAATCTAGCCATGGACGCTAAAGAAAGATTGAGCAACTTATTCTCAACAACCCCTGCCGGATCAGCAGCACCTCCAAAACTGCCACCATTGCCAGTTCAAAGACAAAACGATGATGATGCAAACCAAGAACAGAGTGTGCCCAGTCCTACAGCAATAGCAAGCGACACAGGCAAGAAAGCTGCTGATGCAGGCTTAGGTCTTTCAGGTCAACAATTGCTAGATCTCATCACTAGACTGACTTCAAAGGATTCAGATGGTGAAAAGCCCCGAACAAAAGAGGCAGAGACTATCAAACTGAACGACATGCCTGCCCCAGAAGCGTATCGTCACTGGCGTAATCATGTCAGAGACGAAGTCAAGTCGTGCTCCGACAAACCCGATGAGGCTTGGCTTTGGCTCAATGAAGTCTTCGACAACAAAACTCCTAGGGAAAAGTTGGAGGAAAAGCTACAGGAACCTGGGAAATTCATCACACTCGATACCAAGTTGTCGGCAGCGTTAACTCGCTCAGCCAAAGGTGATCTAGCAACAAAGATCCACAACTTCAAAGATGAGAAGTCAAAGAATGGGATCCAAGTTAGAGGTAGGAGAGTCCTTTTGATGTTTGAAGACTACTTCAGGACGTCTGAGGAAGCCGGAAGTCTATCGTGTGGAGGACCTACTTGGAGTCGTTCGCACCGGAGAATCTGTGGAGGACCTTAGAAGGTTTTTAAACCGATGGGACGCCACTATTGCCGGCATGGAAACCCCACCAGATGACTTGGTTCTCAGAGACATTTTACTCAGACAAATCCGAAAATGCCAATTGATGAAGTATGACATTGAAGCATTCGACAGAGCTCCTGAAAAGTTGGAACAGAAGTCTTATGCATTCTTGTTGAGAAATATTCGTGATCTTTTGGATAGAGAAAGACTCCGTTCAAACAGAAACAGAATCGTTGAAAAGAACAAACAGACCGAAAAGCCTCAGCCCGCTGCACCCGCTCAGGGGGGCAAAGATCGCGGCAAAGGAAAGGGCGATCGAGGTCGATCCCGTGGTCGAAGCCAGAGTGGAAAAGGGGATAAGATATGTTACAAATTCAGGGATGGCAAGTGCGAAAAGGGTAAAGACTGTCCCTACAAGCATGTCAAGGATTCCTCAGGATCTGGCACTCCCAAGAAGAAGGGTAAGGGCAAAGGCGGTAGCAGAAGTGGTTCCCCTAACAGAAAGTCAAGGGAAGAGATGGCCAAAATCCCATGCACTTACTTCCAACAGGGCAAATGTCGTCGTGGTGACAAATGTTTCTACAAGCATGAAGTTGCAGCTGCACCCACAAAGGATCCAAAGCGCACTAATAGCCCTGCACCAAAGAAGAAGGCCAGTGCAAAAGCTGCGCCATGCATTACTCAAAGGTATGCATGCATAGCAAAGGGAAAAGGGTTGCCAAAGGCTACAAAGGCCATGAAAGAACAATGCCATAGAGCTGTTGTGTTTTCATCAAAAGTGGAATACATCAAAGTACCAGCAACAGGTGAACAGAGAAAGGTAGTGCACAAACCCCGAATCTATGAGAAGACGTTCCCCGATTCAGAGTCAGTGCCAAAGCCAGAAAAGCTCACTGCTCACCGCGCTCAGGTTTCGGCCAGGCAGTTGCAGGAACTTGTGAAGCTCTTCGGCAACAACGTGCAGCCCAAATGCCGTTTCCGATGCAATGACCCCGAAGGTGGAGTCTCATGTAACCACTGCAGAGCTTTGATC